AATTTTAGAATCACCTCACTCACCTCAGTTGGTGTTACCGGCCTAAGATACATCGAATTCGATGTTGGGTTCCTAAGATATCTACTAAAACCCCCCACTATCAAAAGTTTTGTCTAGCACTGATCTGTGCTTTATTGTTTGAAGCTATATTTGAGAAGTAGTGTTAAATTATGCTGCAACCTCGGTGCCATTGCTGATAATAGATCCGTCGTCGCCTTTCAGTTTTATAGAATTTTTTTCTTTCAACTTCCTGTTCAACAGCGTGTTAATCATTTGCCATTGCTTTTTAGAGTTCTCACAATGCCTCGTCAAAAAATTTCCTTATAATATTTTGCTTTAGCTAAGTCAATGTGCCTTGTTGCAGAATTTATCAATTTTTCATACGCTTCATCATTGCCTTGGTTGAAGTTGTGATTTTTAGGTGGTGGAGCTTATGCCTTCGCGCACACGCATCCTCTAGCCAGGGAAGAATCCAAGGTTTTGGATCTCTTCGTTCATTTTTTCGCCCGCGGCCTGGATTTGTTCAAGGGGTATGCCTCAACATAATGTTTGGTGTAATTTCACAACATTTTTCGTACTGTACTTCACAATTTTCGTGTGAACTCACTTCACTCCAGTCCTCACTTTCGATCAAACTTTTGAAATTTAGCATTGTTAGCTTCGCCAAATCTCCGTGCCTGTTTGATACTTGGTTTTTTACTTGTAACCCCTCCCGCATGGCCCCTCTCTGTCCCCAAGTAGAAGCGTAGTAAGGGTGGCTAGGTGGTCTGATACGTGTAGAGTAAGCACCTGACAACTTGCCGTGTTCTTGATATCATTAGAATACACGTGGTCTATGAGTGTTGCACTGTGGTCTGTAATTCTGGTGGGCCTTGAAATCATTTGAACGAAACCGTAGTTTTCAAAAGTTGCAACAAGGTTCTGACTGTGCACGTCCTTATCGTATTTTATTAGATCAATATTGAAGTCACCCGTGAATAAAATGTGTTTACGTGAGTGCCTGTCTAGGCTTCTAAGTACATTATCTAGCAGTTTCATGAACTTATCAACATTTACGCGATGGTGAGCGGTAAACTTGATTAGTAGCTTGGTCTTGTTAAAACCTTTGCAGTTGTGGATTTTTATAATTGAAATTCACCACTTGTTTCTTCTCACAGCTGAAGTGTGGCCTGTAATGTTCTATTTGCTCCTCTGTACATACCTGTCTATTTACGTATAACACCAGTCCACCCCCACGGCCAGATGCACGTGCTGGTTCCTGTATTATCGGCTCATGAAATCCCTCTAGAAGTATGTCATAATACCGTTAGGTAGCTTACTTAGAGCGCAGTTTGTTTCATTGAAACTCAGTATATCGTAATTTAGATACGTGTGAATTTCTTCTCGGAAATGAGTTATGTTTTTGTGTAAAGATCGTACGTTTAATGAAAAACTTTTAGTTCATTGGTTTTTGATGGTGAGATATGGACTTGTTGAATGTACTCACATCTTGTTAGCATTTCACTAAGATCTTTCCAATACATGGAGTCGTGCTCAAGTTCCTCTATTTGGTTACCAATTGAATTTATGAGGCTGATTTATTGTAAGGGTTGTAAGTGTGCCGGATTGAGGAGGAGTTATAATCATCATTTAGATCTATACTGCTAGTGCTGTAACCAGGTATGTTTTCTACGCAGCATTTGACGCATCCTAGCTCATATCTATAACACTTCTTGTGGGACTGCTAGTTCACACCAATCACACACTCTCACATTTCTTGAAGAGTAAGACCAGCCCAGACAACTGTGACATTGCTGCTTGTATTTTTTTGAAGTAGTGTGCGGATCTAAGATACATTCATCGCAGGCTCTTATTGCAAAATACTACTAAGGCATTCGTAGCAGGTCCAATAAGTTTTAGCTAGTTCATCGGCTTCTAATTTAGTTAACTTTTCACATTTGTAATGTTTCAATCGTTCGCACAGTGCACAGTAAAGATGAGGGTGGTTCTTTGGGATCCGTTTTTCACATTGTCACAGTGGTTTGGCTGATCTGGTCTACATAACTCGCACATGGTTTCATAGATGAACAATAAGTAAAAGTAAAAGTTAAAAGTAAAAATAAAATGATATGATGTATAGTATTAATATAGCAGTAATCCTATCAGGACTGTTTAGCGAGGACTGCTCAGCCCTGTTTGTAAATCAGCCCGTGATTTCCTAGTTTCCTGTACCTATACCTTAATACCTCCTGCAGTTAATTACCTCATGCTGTTCTAACTGTTCTGTTCTTAACTATGAGAAAACTTTACTTTTACTTCGCAATTATGTAAACACTGTACAGGGTGGGGCGACCGCTAATCTAATGTTAGTCTAATGTTAGTCGTCTACTGTCAGTTGTGGTAATGTACAATGTGTAGTGTGTAATGTAATGTACAATGTATAAAGAAGAACGCAGCTGTGTGGCGAGGTTTTAAGTTTAATCAAGGACTATATATAACGAAAAATTGAGCTAAGATAAGATAAGATAAGCGATTTTATCGATGTTTTATTTTTCCAAAAAGAAGATGAGAATTAGTTGCTTAGATTTGGTAATTCTTTTGTTTCGTGCGAGATTGTGGCAAGCATAGAATTAAGTTCTGGGACCAAAAGTGGTATGTTGTTCAGAATAAAAGTTAGCTCATATCTCATGGTATGTTATTCAGAATAAATTTTAGCTCATATCTCATAGTACATGATAATATCTTGTTACAACACTCATTTGCAGTAAAACTCGTCAACTATACTAATAAATTGACGGCGTAGTGGCAATGGTCCTTGTCTAAAGCCGAGTGCTAGCAGTATGCAGTGTACCCAGCAGTCAGTCATTGCTGATTTCCCCGCGTGGTTCAGGTGTAAGCCGTCACGTGACAGGTGAGGAAGTCCGAAACATATGTTCTCAAAGAGTTTGAAATTTGGGGTTCTGAGTGACAGTTTGAGAAGTAATTCATTGAGATAGTTAATGCGTCTGTTCATGTTGTTGTAAGGATCAGCGGACATGGAGAGGTTTGTGATGCAGTCAAAGAGGAATTGTGTTTTGTATTTTTGCACGAAATGTTTCAGGTGGTTGTGCAGTGTATCGGTTAGCTGCGGAGACTTTCATCATGTCATTTATGCCTGCTGATATCAAAACCACGTCAGCCTGTTCGATGGATTTGCTGTGCTCATGGAGATCACGCAAAAAGAAGAGGTTCTCTCTAAATGCGATAACAGGCTCACGGAATAAGGAACAGTCAAAGGACGCCATTCTTAGAGTCTGATAGTATGAGGACCTTTTTAGGTCGGCTCGCAGTGCTGGCAGGGTTGCGTGGCGGCCTGGTTGATCTAGCAGAGTGATCTAGAAGAACTCGACATGTGATCGTGATTCTAGGCCCAGTAAATCAGATTCTTGAATGGGTGGAACGCTGTGATCAAACATGTCTTGGCTGGCACGTGACATAGCATACAGAGAGCCGTGGTGTGGTGTAAGTTCTCCCTTGCCATAACCGAAGGCTAGTTTCCTCCGAAAGGTAATTGGGCGGGGATGCCCCCAGAGAGATGGTCATAATGAGGCTTTCAGGGTCTATTGAGTCTTCGTTATCACTGTGTGGGGGAATACTGGACGTATGGTTTGTCGTATTTAGTGACCATAAAACTGTTGTAGTGATGAGTTTGGGTCGGGGGCAAGTGTATTAAAGTGTTCAACAATTTGTTTGAGATACGGATTCGTGCTGATGTCCCGTGGACTGTGTGACCCCCCTGCGTACTTTGTAGGGTACGTCCCCATAGTAGGCCACTTTCCTATACGGAATGTGCGGTCATTATCCGTGTCGGCGTCTAACAGGTCAGGTGTGAAGCTTTCAAACGGTGTACGGGGAAAGTCAAATAGGCAAGGCCAAGGAAAGTACCTGTGTTCTCCTCGTTACCCGTATCAGTGTGTGTTGTCTGCTGGACTTCAGTTATCAGTGTAGTCGCGTGCTGGATGCTTTTCTTAGCTGTTTCCATCTGTTGCAGCAGCTTCTTGTTCGTGCCTCGTAAAAATTGATATTAGTTCACTAGTGTTGCGAGTCAAGTCCTTGTTGTAAAACTCAACCTCAGGTGCAATACACTTTTCTAATGCGTTTGGAGTTTCCTCTCTGTATTTCGTTCATTCAGAGCTTTCTCGTCAAGAACTAGAGCTAGTTCATTGCGCATTTGTGCAACTGAGAGGTGGCGGTCGCGAATTAACTCAAGGCATAGCCCCAGTGTAAAGGGTTTAAAGGGTTTTGGGGTTTGATTTTCCCTCAAAAATTCGCGTGGAAAATTTAACTTGCGTACTTTTCGAAGTTTTCTATACCCCTTTGATCTGGTACGGGGGGCCCCGCACCTACACCCGGGGAGTCGTTTATTTTCCGCCCAAAAGTTCTCCCAAAAAGGTCCGAAGTTGATTCCGTTTGGGCCCAGGGTTTTATTTAATTGGGAAATAAAAAGCATCCCCACGATTCATTTTCCTCCAAAATTTAAAAACGAACAAATATGATAAACAATAAGTGTATGATAAGACAATAATTAAGGGTACAGGATGTTCAGCTCGACAAAATGTCGGTAGTAATATTTCTAAGGCCCTAAAATGACTCCTCCAGATCCAGTCTTAACCTTCAATTAGACATAACTCACTAGCTGAAGTAGCTCTGATACGTCGGATTAGAACCAGCTCGCCCTTTTTTAGATTCAAGCAAATCGAGGAATTTCAAAAGGTACAGGATGTTCACTAGTCGTGAAAATATAACAATGAAAGTATAATGATTGTCTAATGCTTTGGAACGAACATGATCTATAGTTGGCACTATGCCGCCAGAGTGCCGCCAGAGTGCCGCCAGAGTGCCGCCAGAGTGCCGTCAGAGTGTCACGAGAGTGCCGCGACAGTGCCATCGGGATCCTGATGTATGACCCTTTTATTATCTAATTGCTGCTTTCCCGGCAGTATATTTTCATTGTCTTCTGCAAAACAAATTAAACTAGCTCATAAAATATGCTGTAACAAAAATTCTGAAAACATAACAGCTGAATTAATATGATACATCCTGTAGTAATAGTATGTAAAGATGACGACAACTCATTTTTGAGCGAATTCTTATCTAGCAACTTAAAAGAAATAAAATGTGTCCATGGCTCTGTAGAACGACTTGATTGGTTTTCTGTCAAATTGAGGTCGAGGAAATGAGAAGTTCTACAAATCACCGCCATAATATTAATCAATTAATTAACTAATTATGAATTCTGCTTATTAAAAGAAAATCGTAGAGATCATGCATTAAGTTTCTCAGATATACTGACTGAATATGGTATCATTACGGAAGCCATCTTCTCATTAGTTACTGAAGTCTGGTAAAATAAATATCAATAACAAATGTTTTCACAAGTATAAACATTGAACATATCGATGATCCCAAATAAATTCCTGTCGCCCTAATATTACTCAAGTAGTTACATAAATAACACTAATTCTATATAACCGCCGCGAATTAAGCAGGCCGCTATATAAGCCCGAAATTGCAATCGAATTACATTCAAAGCTTAAAATTTAGAGGCCATCTTTTCGCGACTGTGCTAAAGGGGAAGCCTAGCTTGTGACGTGATCTCTCGAAACTAAACAAATTCTTGTAAACGGTTCGTATCAGCTTTAAGGTTAAAGGTAACTTAAGCATCAGAATATTAATTGAAACATTTACTTTAACTTAAAAAGACTTGGTTTATACGATAAATTTTCAATAAAATTATTGTTAAAATACCCACAACAGTCCAGTAGTTTTGAATGGATCAGAGAAACTCTCTGGGGACCTTCAGTGGTGGAGAAGTAGTCGGGAGCAAATAATTTTAGAGCGAGATTATCTATTTATCATTTGATGCACACGAGAACTATCTACAATAATTCTAACCGTGAATAAAACCACTGAATAACTAATCACTTGTCTATTCGATTTATATTTCGAGATAGAGTTTGACATGGTCTCCCTCTCAAAGTCATGTCCCAGCAAAGGTAAAGGATGCAGTATGCACCTAATCAAAATCTAGGCTAAAAACCGATATGCACCTAATCAAAATCTAGGCTAAAAACTGGTATGCAAAAAAATTGCTTTTTAACAGTCCCGGTTAACATTTTCAGATGACATATTTGTCACATTTAAAAGATTTTGTCATGTAATTAGACAGGTGATAACTATACGTGACAAGTAAACTCCCACCTAAATCCTCCTCCTCCACCCCTGAAGTAGAATCTACTCGATTGATGAGATTAACTGAACGAAATGCTTTAACATCCTAATTATAGTCCTAAAGTAAGATGAGGAAGTGAGTAAGGTTCATCTCGCAGGGAGAGAGGTAAATACACTTTGTAGAGCTGACATCACACGTTCACTGGTTCAACGTTTTTCTGAACCGCTCGTTTGTAGCTCATCCTGAGGGAGAGGGAGGGTTATCAAGATGTTGTAGTTGGGGGGGCGGGTGTAGTTGTATCAAGGCTGTATATTGGGGGGGAGGGTTATCAAGATGTTGTAGTGGGGGGAGGGGATTATCAAGATGTTGTAGTGGGGGGGGGGAGGGTTATCAAGATGTTAGTAGTGGGGGGAGGGTTATCAAGGGATTTTTGGGTAGTGGGGGGGAGGGTTATCAAGATGTTGTAGTGGGGGGGGGGAGGGTTATCAAGATGTTGTAGTGGGGGGGGGAGGGTTATCAAGATGTTGTAGTGGGGGGGGGAGGGTTATCAAGATGTTGTAGTGGGGGGGGGGAGGGTTATCAAGATGTTGTAGTGGGGGGGGGGGAGGGTTATAAAGATGTTGTAGTGGGGGGGGGGAGGGTTATCAAGATGTTGTAGTGGGGGGGGGGAGGGTTATCAAGATGTTGTAGTGGGGGGGGGGGGAGGGTTATCAAGATGTTGTAGTGGGGGGGAGGGTTATCAAGATGTTGTAGTGGGGGGGGGGGAGGGTTATCAAGATGTTGTAGTGGGGGGGGAGGGTTATCAAGATGTTGTAGTGGGGGGGGGAGGGTTATCAAGATGTTGTAGTGGGGGGGGAGGGTTATCAAGATGTTGTAGTGGGGGGGAGGGTTATCAAGATGTTGTAGTGGGGGGGGAGGGTTATCAAGATGTTGTAGTGGGGGGGGGGAGGGTTATCAAGATGTTGTAGTGGGGGGGGGGGGGGTTATCAAGATGTTGTAGTGGGGGGGGGGGGGTTATCAAGATGTTGTAGTGGGGGGGGGGTTATCAAGATGTTGTAGTGGGGGGGGGGAGGGTTATAAAGTAGCTATGATGAACTCCAGCCCCAAATAGCTATTAATCTCTAGCTATTAATCTATTAATAGGGAGTAGTAAACACGTTCAGTAAATCTTACAGCCTCCAAAGTCGAAGATTTCTTGAATTGTTAGAGTCAGAGTTGATTCAGGTATGTTTAAACCCTTAGCTTATTAGAACTGGATGTAGTCAGACCAAAGCAGTCCGCCTAAAACTCAGTACTAGAGAAAGCACTGAACTTAAAAGATAAGAAAATAATGTCACTCCTAGGGTAGTTCATACTACTACAGACTACGAACTAGTCCAGACTACGAACCGGTTGGCGGTGGCTCTACCAAAGGAAGAAGGAGACATGAGGGTTTCCTCGGAGTCGGGGTAGAGCAGTGTGTTGAGAAGGTGCGCATACTCCTCAAACTTCTCCTTCTCCTTCTCCATGTACCTGTAGCAGTGGGGTACTGGTTTTATACTTGAATAACTCGGGGAACAACTAGAAGCGTATTCTCCATGTACCTGTAGCAGTGGGGTACTGGTTTTATACTTGAATAACTCGGGGAACAACTAGAAGCGTATTCTCCATGTACCTGTAGCAGTGGGGTACTGGTTTTATACTTGAATAACTCGGGGAACGACTAGAAGCGCGCGTTTGAAATGGAGTTGAATGAATGTAATCAATGAAACCGTAAATCAATTTAAAAGATTTAGAACTGGTACTAGTTGTATATAATAGCAATATCTAAATTGTAGCATTATCATGGTGATGAGTAGGGAGCGGCCCATTTCCCAAGCCACTTCCTGGTGCTGTAATGGTTACGGCCCACTTCCCAAGCCCCTTCCTGGTGCTGTGATGGTTACGAACCGTTTCTTGTAGTGCCACTCAGGAGTCGGGGCCACCAGATTGCTCTGCTGTCTTATCAGTGCATCGTACTCTTGTGTTAGCTTATCAACCTGAAATATCATATAAATGTTATGGCCGCGAAATAAGTCGTTTCTACACAAATGGGAGGGGGCTAAGAATACAAAAAAAATGTAACACCCCTTTGAGAGATGACCCATTCTTCGCGACAAATCGCGATCTTTGACGTTTGCCGAGACAAATCGCGATTTTCTCAGATCCTCGCGACAAATCGCGATTATTCCAGTTCTCTGAGGACCAAATTTGCGCATTCTCCTTTAAATCCGAGGGCCAAATATCACGTTCTTTATAATTATATTGAACTTATCACATCCACAGCCTTCCGAATGCAGCTGCACGGACCGAAAAAGTATTTTCGGCTCATAATGCTCAGGGAAGCATGAAACATAAACAAAAGTAGTTTCCAGAAAAACTTTGAAAATAATTTCGATTTAGAAAATTTTCGGTCCGAGTCATTCTCGATAGGTACAAGGAAAGTGCCTCAATATATAAGTTACTTGTTTCTATATAAACATAACTTTTATAATAATTCTTACGTAATAATCATAATAATTCTCTATTATCACTAGAAGCCGCACAGACCTACTATCTACACACAAACCAACTAGCAATTGTTATTACTCTAAGTAATACTTGATGTAACAGTATGGGGGAGAGAGAGGGAGAGACACTTTAGTATCACATTTGGGTCACAAAATCATCAATTAAACCACTTACCATCGGCCAATTAAAAAACTTATGCTCTTGGGCTTCATCAGAGTTTTGTCGGCACTTAGCACTATACCGAAAAAACCAGTCACGTACCTCTTACCATTTTCTAACTTGACAATACTTCAATCGTAAGCATCATCATCATGAAGAAGAGTCTGTTTACTCAGTATACACTAAAGATTATTAATATAGATGCTATTGTTTTGCCTGACGAGCCTGTCGCTCTCTAATCTAACTAGACTAACAAGCTAGTTAACGAATTTATGACATCTAACTTAGCTCTGCAAATACATTATCTTTCGCCGCAAATTCACCGCGATTTTGCCTAGTTCGACTTGTCGCGGCGCCTCGATTTTTGGCTTAAATAATCGCGATTTTCTTTTGTCCTTGACGATGGTTTACTTGAATTGTCAGGGCGGAGAAGGTCTAGGCCTCCAGGGATCTTTCACAAAGCTCATTTTAATCAATGTCCTTAGAAATAATTATTTAGGGTTGAGAACCATGGACCTCAAATTCCTTTCAATGTTAACTATATTGTACATAATATTTAAGCCTATTTGCTGTATCTGCTAAAATATTATGTTCATCTTCGCCATTTTTACTATCCATCAATGGCGACTTGTATTGAATCTACCCTTCCTCAGTCCTCACTCAAGTGCTCTTCTACGGTTGGTTTTCTTCGGGCTTGTCTTCCTGTTCTGTTCCGTCCAGAGTGGCGAGTCTGCTGCAGCTTGGTTATCGGAATGAAAGCTAGCTCTACGCCCGTGGACGGAGATTGTCTTTGAAGCGGGGTTGATCCTTCACTTCTACCGCATCTTTGTGTTTGTCCTTTTTTAAGAAAAGGATTGCTTCTCTTATTGAACATTATTTGGAACCTGTTCTTCAAGAATTTTCTAAAACGTTTCACCGTAAGAGCGTAAATGAAAAAGTTCGCATTGATGTTAAAATTAGTGAGGAAGAACGTGGCACGTAGCGCTGTGAGGTTTTGAGCCAGCTTCACAAGAAACGTTGCGTACACCACGTTCCAAGGCAGAAGGGACACGTAAAATACTCCCACAGTGAGCAGCACAGTTCTGATACCCTGCCAGCGCACTGCCTCCCTGTGCCGCGCAGCTGACCTCCACGCAACTAAAAGCAGGAGCAGTGACGTCACGAATATCAGTATCATCATGGTAACGGTAGCCACTAAGAAATTAACACTGGCATACCATCTGAACCAGGCAGGTGTGTACGGAGAGAAGTAGTTGTAGCTGCACTGATAGGTCCTGTAGCTGAAGAACAGCGTGTCCCTGACATAAAACATGTTTACCACAAGCCACGGTATCCAAGAGATGAACTGAAACAACCACAGAGCCGCGCATAGCACGTGACCAGCCCTGGAAGACCATGCGCCTGTTCGGAAAGGGTACTTCACCACCAGCAGCTTCACCACCGTCAGAGCGCACGTGAGGGTCATGGTCATACTGCCACTCAGATAGTTTACATTGTTTTGGACGTGTCCGAGGAAAGATGATAACTGTTGTCCTGCCCGAAAGTCCCAAAAGTAACCCATAGAAATGTGTTAGTAATATTGAGGACTGCACCTGTAAATCTACCATCTTTTATTTATTTATTCATCATTATTTTTCTCTCGAATTGTTCTATATTTCCTGTTTAGCCCAACAGTTACACCAAGAAGCTAAGCTCCATTAGACATGTCCGGGTGTCTCGTCTTATTAAGGGGAAAATCGCGATTCCGCATATGCCGCGATTTCCTTTTGTCCTCGATGAAAATTAGTGATTATATATTTAGTTTGTTATTTCAGTGGAACAATTTGATTCAGTTGTTATCATTTTTATACTTTAATTTCGGATCATTTTACTTTTTAGAGTATATAGTAAAGCTTTAAGTAGCATTTAGATGACAATATTTTGTTTAATAAATAAGTTTGGTAACATGAATCAAGAGATGCAATGTTCAATAATAATCAGTGTATATTATCAAACATTTGTTTATGAATCTTCGCCATCAAATGCTTTTGGTCCCATGGAAAAATATTATTCCTAGCCGAAATTATTGCTGGTCAAAGATCAGCGCTTATGTGTAAATGTATTGCGCAAGCGATTTTCAATTGCGCGCCCTGAAAATCGAGTCTAAAAATCTATCTCCTCCTGCATTTTTTGAGCAATCACCCTGAAACTTTCAGGATATGTTCTAGGGATCATTTAGAAGAGATCTATCGAGCCGATCTTTTGAAAATCTTGGACCTCATTTTTTGACGATTTTTCCAGGTCCAAGATTTTCAAAATCGAATAAAACATTTTCTGAGGCCTATCTCAAAATCAATTTCGAGAGAATTTTGATGAAGACCCCCCCGGCCCCCTTAACTGATCGAACTGGTACTAAAACAATTTTCAGATAGAAATGTTCTTTGCGATACTTTTATTGCAGCTTTGCAACTTGAGTGAAGACCAGAGTTCCTCAATAGTTATTGGTTTAGACATTTCAGAACTCTTCTCTTATTCACGTTTCTCTTCTAATTACTTTCACTATGATATTTAGACGATCGGAAATTTGGCACAAGTCCAATTGCCATCTAACGTCTTCATTGCAAAGCTTCTTTAGACCAATGTTTCTTCTACAGAATTAAACCATGAGGTAGGATAATGAATTGCTAGCATTAACATTATCCAAAACTGGAAGGTTTTGCATTATGAAATTCTAATGTAAGTCGTTACCCCGTCGTTACACAATCATCGATACAGAATGCAAAACTGGAAGGTTTTGCATTCTGAAGTTCTTACGCTGGATAAAATCGTAGAGTGTTCTCTAAAATAAGAGAATACTATTTTTTTAAATAATAAGATGGCTAAAGGGTCTCGAAATGGTCGGTGGCTGAGGTACGGCTGCAAGTCAAGGATAACTGTGTTTCATGTCATATATTTAATGTTTTGGCACGGAATAAAACGAGTGCCCAAATTTTTAGATCCGTATAATCGACACTCATGATTCGAGAGTGTCAAGATAAAATGTGTCACTAGAGTAGGACGTTTTACGTTGGAATTTCCTTGTTTCTCTGATTCAGACGCATGCCAGGCTCTTCAGAGAAATATTTGAATAAACTATTTTAAACACGCTGATTTACAGAAAATTCAAATTTATTACGGCTGTTTCCCATCATCAAACTACGCGGTAAATTTTGAATAGGGTGAATAGTGCTATTAAAAAGTTGCAGTTTTTACCAGTTAATTTTCCAGATACAAAAAAGAAACCCCAGGTCATTGATCACAGTACTGTGGCGACAGAACTGTTATCATATTTTGAAATGTCGCCTAAAGTGCTTTTGAAAGTAGTCATGGAAAGCCCCTCCCGGATTGCAACATCGCCATGTTACGAAAATAATCGCCGCACTAACAAAATATACGCCATTCTTAGCAAAATATTCTCCATGTCACGATTTATTTTCAATGCTTGCTGTTGATGCAAATATTTCATATGGAGGCGAATATTGTGGTATACAAAATTTGCCTTCTTAGCAAAATATTTGCCAAAAACTCAAATGCGCGTAGTAAAATATTTGCCTCCTTATGATTTATTTGCGTCTTGGCGTAAACCGCGCATTCTTAGCAGAATACTCGCCTCCTTATTATGATTAATTTGCATAACATGTAAAGTTCAAATTTATTTTTTGATCTGGAGCTTGAAACAAATCAAAAAATTTACCTTGTTATTTATTTATTTTTATGATTGTCCCTAGCCTAAAATTGCACGAAAAAAAATCTATTATAATATGTTTTGGAATCCAAAAACACTTCATTATCCCTCGAAAGTCATGTTTTACGACTGAAATTAGAAACATCAACTTCGATGTGAATTGAAGTAATTTTGTTCTCTTGTGTTGGGAAGTGGACAAACTGCAGTGTATGAACCGACCGGAATGGGCTTTTGGTTGCCGGACCGGATTTTGCCGGATATCAATCTATTATACGGTTAGACGGATTTTGCCGGACCGGAACCGGTTGTTAGGAAGGGCAAATATAAGGCTGCCGGAATGTGCCGGAAAATTTAAATTAATCCTTATTATTAATATTGGGCTTTTGTCATTATCAATTATGATATTAATCCTTATCCTTTGTAATTACACAATAAGTTCCGCATTTATAAGAGCTATACAACCACAACGATGATGTTTACTGTTTAGGCCTAGCAGTAGACATAGGTCAAATATCAAATCAGCAGTAAGTTGTAACAAGAGTAACCAAGAAGTAAGAGCAGACTGGTTGTTATCAGAAATGATATGCAATTGGCATATCCTACCAGAGGGGAGAGGGGGTTGGCTTTTCGGTTTTCCTTTCTTCTTTTAGAAAAATGTTTTTCTGGAAACCACTTTTCTCCACGTTTCATGCTACCCTGTTCGAAAATATTTTTTCGGTTTTCCGGAGTCCGCATCTACCCCTCGATACACAAGGCCTCCCCTTTGCAACACGAGCTCGGAAGCGGGAGCTCTGCCCTCAGAGGTACGTATCGACTTCGAGAATAACTCGGACCAAAAATGTTGTAAGTCAAAATTTTCGGCATTATGGAAAACTAATTCGAAAAAACCGTTAAGTTTTTTCGAATTTGTTTTCCATAATGCCGAAAAATGGATCAGCCAATCCTCATCCTGGACTCGAAAAAGCAGTCATGGCGTGATATATTTTTTTAAAACGTGACATCATGATTGCTACCTGTCAGCTAGAACACATACCAAACGTAAACAACAGATCGGTCATCTTACCTTTAATTGATCTGTTCACGAAATTTAAGAATTCGGGGAACTTTAGAACTCAAAACTAAGCAGTTTTGGCTCCGAATCTGCTCGGTAACCAGAGATCTTTGAGTCATGATGTCATAATGTGAGGTAAGGGAAATTTAAAAAAAAGGAAAAAAAGGAATGAGTGCGGCTGCGGTCGGTCCAAATCAGCTGATAGTGATATTGTTTAGATAACCGGCTAAGCATACCCAGGTTAATATCATTAAAAATATGTCGTATATTATTATATCTGGGTGAAATATGTCATGGTTTTTATCACCCGATGGGGCATTTTTGGGCCCCACAATGATCCAAAATGGCAGAGCCTGATCCAGGGGGACAAAGCCTGCTACAGGCGAGTTCTAGAAAAATTTATTGAAAAATTCTTAACTATTTTGATATAATTCTTCAAACACAAGGATATTTTTTATATGGTATCCCCCGTCAGATATGTCAAACATTCGTTCATCTGATCAAATGTGCGCGAACGTTTTTCATGTCAAGTTTTGCCTGTAAAAGACAGGTATAAATATGCGTGAACTTTCTCAGATATTTGTAAATCATGACAAAATGTCAAGATTTCGGATGTCATGATTTCGGATGTCATGAAAATATCAAAATATTCGCAAAATTTTTTCAAGAAATTTTTTCGAAAAAAGTTTTTTTAAAAGAAATTCTGTAATCAATTATTTCTGAAATTAAATTAGTTTGTAACAAAATTTAACAATAATTTGGTTATGTCGTGGATTTCCTTCGAAATATGTCGTATATTAATATGCGAAATATGTAATGATATTGACCTGGGTAAGCATCGTTAGTATCTACCCTCCAGCCTGGCCTGGAAACTGCCGTATATGTTTCTCTAAAAGAGAAGTGGTCAGCCGTCTAGGAAGCAGGGCTTTCCTAGTTTATATTGCTTTGGAACAACCTTAAAATATTTCTTGAATTTTGTGGTGAATAATGTTTTATAACAGTCTTTACCAATACATACTTCATTTTGCGCACCTAAAAAGCAACATTTAATTCAGTAAATTGTCCAGACTTCCAATTTCGGCAGATCAATTTTTCGGATATTGCTGGCATATGAGTAACAAAATTTCCATGAATATGCCCTCCGCCAAAATCTCCAATTGTCCTTCTATTCACAGATTTCTACGAATAATGAGGAATATCCCGAGTATTGAGTGGAGCTCACTAGCGTGAGTTCCCGAATGATAATGGTTTCTATAGAATTAGGAACCGACCGGATATTAATATTCGGTTCCTGTTCGGTATCCGAAAATTTTGCCGGATTTTTGCCGGCTATTTCTGCAAAAAAATGTATTTCTAAAATCTTGAAATGCATAGTTTTCGTCAAATTTGGACTCGAATCCTTAAAAAATGATTACATACGTACCTCTGAGGGCAGAGCTCCCGCTTCCGAGCTCGTTTTGGAAAAGGGAGGCCTGCCTTCCGAGACGGCATGATAAGTAAAGGAGGAAGCCTCGATTTCAAAATTGTGTATCGAGGGGTAGGTGTTCGGAAAACCGGCTAATAATGAACAGGGTAGTATGAAACGTGGAGAAAAACATTTGAAAAAATGACTTTGTCTGTTTGTTTATAGAACCCGTCCCCAATCTTGTATTGGAAAATAACTAAACTCAATTTTGAGTATGAATACGGGTGGTACCTGCAAGTGTGTTAAACTTCATCAAGCATTTAGAGTTCTGTAAAACTGCAGTTACAATTGTGCTAGAGTATTTTTAGTATTTACGATCGATATCAGATCTCGATCCCTACATGCTTCCAAAATTTAAATCTCCAACTTACTGCACATGAACTGGATTAATGTTTGAAAAAAAAAAGTGTTTTGAAATAAAATCAACGCTTTAATTTTAGGAAAGTAAAATTAATTTTCTGGTTTCTTAAGTCAGCTTTAAAGTCGGAAAATCGAAGTATGTAACGTCTATACCACAAAAAACTTTGACAATGCAGGACAGCAAGATACTATGTCATCATAGTTGTTGAGTGCCAATGGATCTACCAAAATAGGTTTCTCAGTAGACCAAACAGATAGTTGTTACTGTAGATAGGTACCGACAACAAGAGTGCTGCGACCCGCCCGCTCACCTCGTCACTTGTTAGACTCCGCCACAGCCAAGCGACTAATAGTGACCGATTATTGAGATTTTTTACATTATTCGTAGAAATCTGTGAATAGAAGGACAATTGGAGATTTTGGTGAAGGGCATATTCATGGAAATTTAGCTACTCGTATGCCAGCAATATCCGGGAAATGAGGTCTGAACAGGGTAATATGAAACGTGGAGAAAAACATTTCTTTTTAATGTTAACATTTTTGTTTGTTTGTTTATGCCAAAACTACAAGCTTTTGCATTTATACATCACTCAATGCTGTGTAGTTCAAGATCATTGTTAAAGAATCCTCAAGCTCACAAGCGTAGGAGGATAATGAACCAAAACTTAATACTTTTGCATATTCAAACTCTATTTATTGACTAATTGTTTGCTTTAATAATTTATCGATTCATTACGTCCCTGTCCCTGTCCCTGTCCCTGTCCCTGTCCCTGTCCCTGTCCCTGTCCCTGTCCCTGTCCCTGTCCCTGTCCCTGTCCCTGTCCCTGTCCCTGTCCCTGTCCCTGTCCCTGTCCCTGTCCCTGTCCCTGTCCCTGTCCCTGTCCCTGTCCCTGTCCCTGTCCCTGTCCCTGTCCCACTGCCCCTTGCGATGTTTAATGCAATATTTGGTTGCACCCAACATTTCGACCTAATTTTTTTGTATTACTTATTTTTTTGCAAAATCAATTTGGCGGCCAAATTGAGAAATGTGCCATGCTGCCTGTAGCAACAGCAATTGGCTTGGACTGCCGCTAAAAAGATTGATCCCTGGTAAGTAAGCATGGTTCATATTAATATCTGCCGATGGGCCCTTCACAAGGACTTCAGTTGGTCAACTAACGGTTGAGTGGCTAAGTTGGGCTAAGTTGGCATTTCTCGAGGTACCAGGTTCGATTCTCCGCTTATCTACCAGCCGTGGTGTGAGCGTGTTCGACGCTTAGCTAAGGATCCTGAGTGGTCTATGCACTGCATAGTATGCAGCCCCCTGGTCCACTCAGTCGAATGCTCGAGAAATCAGGTGTAAGGGTTAAATGAGGAGCTGCCCATTGCAGCGAAGTCTCGGGCGAAGACAGTATGGTACACACTACCTTAACTGTCACTGGCCTAATGTATAATTGAATCCTTTGGCTTCCTGTAATTGGCTGGTTACACCCGTGTAACTAATATGGCTGTTGGAATGTAAGAAGTAAAATAAGTAAGTAAGTAAGGAAGTAAAATAAGTATTAGATTTTTTTAAAACTGTTATCTCTCCCACTCCCCCTCCCCTTTCCTTTTAAACTTGAAATTCTTTTTCTTGTCGATTAATTGGTCGTCTTCCTGTGGCCCTGCAATACGGAATCATGTAAAAAATGTTTAGCTTTCCATGTCGTACGAATTAGCTAATACTGAACTACTAACATGAAAACAATAAAACCTCCTATTAATAATCCATAAAATCTTAGGAAATCATGGATTACAAATCAAAGAAGTCATTGGGACCGATAAGCAGCAGTAGCAGTATCTATCGTGTCTTTCTGAATACTGGCAGCAATTTGCCCCAAGCTGATGTTATAAAAAAGTGGAACGAGGGCACTGTAAAGATAACCATTAACCCCGATGGCGTAGAAGGTTGTGAATCGCACATATTGAGGATAAATGAACCATTCAACACGCACAAAATGGGATTCACTGATGTTGTCTTTTGGGTTCCTGAATCTAAAGAAAATTCGGGTGAACCAAAACTACTGAAACTTGAAATTGAGGGGAATTGTTTGAAGAAGTACCCTATTTTCTTTCGAGAAGTTGCGATACAATGGGAATTTAAAACCTACAGATTTCCCATACACAACTTTCTAAGCCCGTACACCCCGTGCAATGGCAGAACTGATACCCTCCAGGATGGATGCCTGCCATATCTCTATTCTGTTCCAGGAAGTGGGACCCTGAAACACCAGGAGCACGATCTTGCTATACTGAGTGCGAGGGATTGGTCACTCAGTTTTGTTCGTTCCGTTGTAAAATGGGAACAAAATGTGTCTCCGAACGGAGTAGCTGGTTATATTGCAGTAAAAACGTACAAAGAACTTCCCAGATTCCTGAAATTTCGACTTGCCAAAACGGACGCCTTTGAGTCTGGAATAACCGATGCTGGAAACGAGATAGTATGTTCCATAGTGAAAGGGTACCTCTGTGGTTTAAAGTGCCAAAGACTTCATGAACAGAGTCACAGTTGGAACGACTTTCATAGCTACGAGGAGTCGTTCCTTAAAATGGCCGAAAAGTCTAGATGGAAAGTAGATGATATTAGGGAAGGACTATGGGTGGGTGAACACTTCCAAAAGGACCACGAATTTGGAAGACAGATTCTTCAGGGTCCTAATTCCATCAACTTGAGAAGAGTAAACGAAATATCTGCTCCATGGAAAGAGGCTATCGAGAAGGGTTTCCTGAAGCCATATGCTATAGACGGAGAAGATCCTGAACAAGTCATCAAAGAAGGTCGACTGTTCGAAGTTTTGAACTCAAAAACACTGGATGGGGTTGCTGACGGAGGGGCCATGAGTTTTAAATTATTAGGAACAAAGGAAACATGGTACGTAGTTCAGGCTGACGTTCTCCTCTTCCAGAGCAAGAGGCTCCCTGTGCACGAATCGTTTGTCCCCGTTTTGATACGTTTGGAATACAAGAACGGCCAGGAGCCACAAACTTTTTGGTACCCGCCCGAGAAAAGGATCGATCCGAACTACTATTCTTGGCTTCTAGCCAAGATGCATTTTAGATGTGCTGATTGGCAAGTGTACAGTTTAGGCACCCACTATGCAAGAGCCCATACCATGAATGAGGTGTTTGCCGTGTCCATGTACCGCAATCTTCCTTTTCAACATCCATTGTTCAGAGTACTATGGCCTCACCTTCAAGGAATTATTGCCATCAATGCCCAAGCAAGACAAGTTCTAGTCAATCCAAGCAACAATGCATTTGCTAAGTTTATGTCTGCTGGTGATCATCTAGCTGAATTGCTGGTTAACTGCTGCAAAGAGCTGAGATACGACAGTTTGGTCATTCCAAAAGACTTTGAAACCAGGGGAGTTGCCAATACGTCCACTGTGAAACTCCAGTACTTGTTCCGGGATGATTCCGTTTCCTTGTGGAACATTCTACATGACTACGCTACTGGAATGGTAGACCTGTCCTACAAGGCTGAAGAAGATGTGTCCGGAGACCTAGAATTGCAGGATTTCGTAAAAGATATAGCGAACATTGGTTTTGCCGGGTTTCATGGCAACAAAGGGGCAGGCTTTCCTACCTCTATCTTGACAAAAAAGAGTTAGCGGAGTATTTGACTGTGGTCATTTATAACGCCTCGTGTTACCACGCGAGTGTAAACTTCCAGATCAACAAATACCTGGCCTATATGCCTAATGCACCACCCAGCGTCCTCCAACCACCACCAGGTCAGGACAACGTGGCTACCTTAGCACAAATCATGGAGACTATCCCGAAATACGAAATTGCCCTTGTAACTATGGCCCTCACAGAAGTGCTAGGAAACTTCTCTCCAATCGAGCGGTTTTACCTTCCGACTAAGACAGACAATAGACTGGGATATTTGGGAGGTAACATGGCTGTTTCTCTTGATCAGGAAAACTGCATTAAAAAGATGGAAAAGAATATGGAGAAGCTAAGAGTTGCTATAGTAGAAAGGAATGAAAATAGTGAGACCATACCCTACACAGTACTTAGACCTGACCTTCTCCCAATTGCTACACAAATATGAACCAGCAGAAATGTAAGTATTATTAGGGCGGAACCTTGTTAGTCTCCCTACCAATTGAGTAATTGAATGCATGGTGGCTTAGCTCAGGGAGGATTACTAGAACCAATGTAATGTAAAATATCCCTAATAAAATTAGGTAATTGAATTTAACTATTCCGCAGAAGTACGGATCAAGCAACAGAAACTTATTCAACTTCACCAGCTGGAATTAGCAGTATAGTACGGAACAACTCCACAATTTGGATATTAGTAATATATCGGAGTCAGCATGCCAAATTATCTCGCAAAACTCGTTTATCTTGACAATATTAAGAGTTTATGGTTTAGGCGCGGCGCACCGCTTATAGCTTTTTCATTTTCGGCGCTGTGTTGCTACACGCTGTATAGCATGTATGTGGGTCAAGCATGGTGCCGCGCCTAAGCAGCAAAAGAGTTATAAATCAATTTTTTTAAAAACATACTCCGTTCTGCCAATAGTTTTGCATCTGACTGTTGATATTTTTTAAATTTGATAAAATTTATTTTTGTATCTCAAAAATGATATAAAGTTTTTAATATGACGTAGAATTAAAGATATTTCAGTACAACCTAAGTATGCTCGTTAGAAAAACTATGAAAATGCTAGCTTTCTTTATTTTGTTAATCGGCCGACATCTTGGGTTGTACTGGACGTAACAAGTTTATTATCGGATGTCAATGATATCATTATTCATTGTAATGGCAATACAATTTAAATTTTGTTTTACTTAAAAATTTGGTTTTACTTAGTATTATTTCTATTGGAGTATCAGTAACATTTTAGAACAATTCGCATGGTGTTATTTCTATTGGAGTATCAGTAACATTTTAGAACAATTTGCATTGTGTTCACAATTGCGGTGTGATTGGTCTAATAATTAGTAATTGGTGTTAGATTAAACCATTAGATGAGTAGAATTTTTCAATTGCTAGAAAAACGTTAACTCAAACTTAATATTCTTCATTAAGATACTAACGTTTGGTATCATGACTCATCTCTAGAGAGTAGAGACATGATTTCTACAAAATTAACGTATAAATTGTATTGGATGTTTGAATGACAATTTTAAAATCGTTTTAATTTAAGATTTAACATGTTAATGATCTGTGCACGACGACCTTTCTGATTCATAGTTTTTTAAAAAATGATTTTAGACTTTTAAACAGTGTAACTAAAGGTATGTTGATATCAGATTACATGAAGTAGCAATTGTTAATTCTTAAAATCCATCTTAACTGCTACTATATGATTTGTTTGAACCAGCTCCACAAGAAATCTTAAACTACAACATTTAAAAATGGACATTTGAAACAAACCTGGCCATGGCCCAGCAATCCACACCGGTTCGGTGACCAGTGTCCTCCAGAGCAGTTATGTTAACAAACTATTTCAAATATTCTCTTTTTCTGGACCACTGTTCCAATACCGGTTATTAAGGCACCCTCTGTTAACACGTGAACATTTTCGAGAATCTAATTGCGTCGTGAACCCTAATTATCATAGAGCACGGGATCAGAGTGTCAGATCCTACTGTCAAGTCTGAATACACAAACGGTGCGAGAGTGAGAGCCAGCAGGATGTCACCTTAGCAGCTCCATTCCCCACTTTTTTAAAAGTAATTTAAGCTAATTCAGTGAGCCGACTGCGTACAATCTTTACGGCTTCTTATTTTCATAATCAAACTTTCATATCTTAAACTTGGCGACCTGACACATTCCCACAGTAGGAAAGTAAACAAACCTGAGTCATGTGGTACATCTGATACAGTCCCATAGTAGGAAAGTAAACAAACCTGAGTCATGTGGTACATCTGATACAGTCCCATAGTAGGAAAGTAAACAAACCTGAGTCATGTGGCGACCTGATACAGTCCCACAGTAGGAAAGTAAACAAACCTGAGTCATGTGGTACATCTGATACAGTCCCACAGTAGGAAAGTAAACAAACCTGAGTCATGTGGTACATCTGATACAGTCCCACAGTAGGAAAGTAAACAAACCTGAGTCATGTGGTACATCTGACACAGTCCCACAGTAGGAAAGTAAACAAACCTGAGTCATGTGGTACATCTGATACAGTCCCACAGTAGGAAAGTAAACAAACCTGAGTCATGTGGTACATCTGATACAGTCCCACAGTAGGAAAGTAAACAAACCTGAGTCATGTGGTACATCTGATACAGTCCCACAGTAGGAAAGTAAACAAACCTGAGTCATGTGGTACATCTGATACAGTCCCACAGTAGGAAAGTAAACAAACCTGAGTCATGTGGTACATCTGATACAGTCCCACAGTAGGAAAGTAAACAAACCTGAGTCATGTGGTACATCTGATACAGTCCCACAGTAGGAAAGTAAACAAACCTGAGTCATGTGGTACATCTGATACAGTCCCACAGTAGGAAAGTAAACAAACCTGAGTCATGTGGTACATCTGATACAGTCCCACAGTAGGAAAGTAAACAAACCTGAGTCATGTGGTACATCTGATACAGTCCCACAGTAGGAAAGTAAACAAACCTGAGTCATGTGGTACATCTGATACAGTCCCACAGTAGGAAAGTAAACAAACCTGAGTCATGTGGTACATCTGACACAGTCCCACAGTAGGAAAGTAAACAAACCTGAGTCATGTGGTACATCTGATACAGTCCCACAGTAGGAAAGTAAACAAACCTGAGTCATGTGGTACATCTGATACAGTCCCACAGTAGGAAAGTAAACAAACCTGAGTCATGTGGTACATCTGATACAGTCCCACAGTAGGAAAGTAAACAAACCTGAGTCATGTGGTACATCTGATACAGTCCCACAGTAGGAAAGTAAACAAACCTGAGTCATGTGGTACATCTGATACAGTCCCACAGTAGGAAAGTAAACAAACCTGAGTCATGTGGTACATCTGATACAGTCCCACAGTAGGAAAGTAAACAAACCTGAGTCATGTGGTACATCTGATACAGTCCCACAGTAGGAAAGTAAACAAACCTGAGTCATGTGGTACATCTGATACAGTCCCACAGTAGGAAAGTAAACAAACCTGAGTCATGTGGTACATCTGATACAGTCCCACAGTAGGAAAGTAAACAAACCTGAGTCATGTGGTACATCTGATACAGTCCCACAGTAGGAAAGTAAACAAACCTGAGTCATGTGGTACATCTGATACAGTCCCACAGTAGGAAAGTAAACAAACCTGAGTCATGTGGTACATCTGATACAGTCCCACAGTAGGAAAGTAAACAAACCTGAGTCATGTGGTACATCTGATACAGTCCCACAGTAGGAAAGTAAACAAACCTGAGTCATGTGGTACATCTGATACAGTCCCACAGTAGGAAAGTAAACAAACCTGAGTCATGTGGTACATCTGATACAGTCCCACAGTAGGAAAGTAAACAAACCTGAGTCATGTGGTACATCTGATACAGTCCCACAGTAGGAAAGTAAACAAACCTGAGTCATGTGGTACATCTGATACAGTCCCACAGTAGGAAAGTAAACAAACCTGAGTCATGTGGTACATCTGATACAGTCCCACAGTAGGAAAGTAAACAAACCTGAGTCATGTGGTACATCTGATACAGTCCCACAGTAGGAAAGTAAACAAACCTGAGTCATGTGGTACATCTGATACAGTCCCACAGTAGGAAAGTAAACAAACCTGAGTCATGTGGTACATCTGATACAGTCCCACAGTAGGAAAGTAAACAAACCTGAGTCATGTGGTACATCTGATACAGTCCCACAGTAGGAAAGTAAACAAACCTGAGTCATGTGGTACATCTGATACAGTCCCACAGTAGGAAAGTAAACAAACCTGAGTCATGTGGTACATCTGATACAGTCCCACAGTAGGAAAGTAAACAAACCTGAGTCATGTGGTACATCTGATACAGTCCCACAGTAGGAAAGTAAACAAACCTGAGTCATGTGGTACATCTGATACAGTCCCACAGTAGGAAAGTAAACAAACCTGAGTCATGTGGTACATCTGATACAGTCCCACAGTAGGAAAGTAAACAAACCTGAGTCATGTGGTACATCTGATACAGTCCCACAGTAGGAAAGTAAACAAACCTGAGTCATGTGGTACATCTGATACAGTCCCACAGTAGGAAAGTAAACAAACCTGAGTCATGTGGTACATCTGATACAGTCCCACAGTAGGAAAGTAAACAAACCTGAGTCATGTGGTACATCTGATACAGTCCCACAGTAGGAAAGTAAACAAACCTGAGTCATGTGGTACATCTGATACAGTCCCACAGTAGGAAAGTAAACAAACCTGAGTCATGTGGTACATCTGATACAGTCCCACAGTAGGAAAGTAAACAAACCTGAGTCATGTGGTACATCTGATACAGTCCCACAGTAGGAAAGTAAACAAACCTGAGTCATGTGGTACATCTGATACAGTCCCACAGTAGGAAAGTAAACAAACCTGAGTCATGTGGTACATCTGATACAGTCCCACAGTAGGAAAGTAAACAAACCTGAGTCATGTGGTACATCTGATACAGTCCCACAGTAGGAAAGTAAACAAACCTGAGTCATGTGGTACATCTGATACAGTCCCACAGTAGGAAAGTAAACAAACCTGAGTCATGTGGTACATCTGATACAGTCCCACAGTAGGAAAGTAAACAAACCTGAGTCATGTGGTTTTGAAGCTGATCCTCAAGAGAACATCTAGTTCGACTCATCGGGAGAGAGTGGGGTTGGAACGTGTTACTGTTGCTGACAGGGGCCGCCATTGGGAGGGCGCTGAACATTGCTGCTACCTGAATAATACCAAATGTTTACATAAACTGAGATTCATTTATTTGAACCATTTTTATTAAATAACTTAATTGTCATAAAACTCATGATCACAGCTAACTCTACGCCCAATTCCTAAAAGTAAAACCTAAATATGACGTCATCAAATTAAACGTGACATCATGATTGCACCCTAAAAGAAACCTTGTTAATAGCATGCATCCACTCCTGCATATCTGTGTCGTCAGCAGCCTGCAGTAAGAATTGTCTGTCGTCAGCACAGGCTAGTAAGATGACACAGTGTCTGTTGCGTGTCATCGTCCGCGATGCTAGGCAGTGATGACAAATTATCTCCACTTTCTTTCCTAGGAGAGAGTTTTTGTGAGATTAGGATAAATAATTATTTGATAATGAAACTATTGACTCTGCCATGATCTCCACTATTGAACTCAATAACAAAATTGAACATCCAACTGATATCTGAAGCAATATCTTCATTAACAGAATTTTAAACAATTTTAAAATTCACAAAGTCACCCACGTTACCTAGTTAATAGTTACCGAGTAACAGAGTTACTGAGTAACAGAAGCAGTATACTGACCTCCTTTACTGAATGTAAGCTTGCTGCCTCTCAACTCCGCGTCCCACCTCTTCCACCCTCTCTTGAACATGCCAGGTCTCTTCCCGGACATCAGAATGTAGTTCTTCTTTACCAGGGATCCTTGTTTGTGTATCACGTTCTCGTAGCCCAGGGTTGGGGGTGAAATAAAAAAACATGGGAGTTTTAAATTTTTTTTACTTTGCCAAATAATAGGGGGAAAGGAAGGATTACTCGGGGCAAAAAACCCGCAATATCGACCTTCTTTCGGGTCGGTTTATTCCCCAAAAAACCACTAATTTTGGTTAAAAAAATAAAAGTGAATCCTTTTGGGCAATTCAAATATATAACATAAATGTGTTTATTGAAAGATTAGAACATAATTTGAAATGCAGCAATCGTATCAAAAGTCGCATCCGATGTGATGAAAATACAGAAATCCAAAGAAGCCAAACCAACCTAAAAAAATAAAAAATGCAGGTTAAACGTGAATAATATTCCCCCTTTAAAATAAATTTCAAACAGAATCCCGACGATTGGCAAAAAAGATTTAACATCCCCCAGATAATTTCTCCAGGCTCCATTTTCCCCATACCCTCATCCTCTCACTATTCCCCTTACTTTTCAAAAAGGAGCTCAGAAAAATGTTTTATCCAGAACGTTCCTTAACAGGTTGTGCTCCATCGTCAGACACGACTCAAGGTAGGTTAACCGCATTTCTTTGAACCGCTTTATCTTGCGGTCCAATGCGGAGTTTAGCCTGCTTTTCTCCTTCCTTCTGGTGAGACTAGGAGTGCTCTTCAGCTGATTTAGCATGGCCCGGGTCTGGACAATATCCTCGAAGACGTCCCTCATTTCTTGCTGAGCAGAGTTTTCTTTCTTGATCGGTTCTATCATTACGTAGTCATCCTCAATTCTCTTCCGTTTGCCACTGTGGGGACGTTAGGCCGTTGGTTAAACGACTGTTGACTGTAAATTAGTTTAAATAGGAAATAACATCATCCGCAGAAAATAACCATGAATAAAAAGTTAAAAAGCAGCAGAACTACCTAACTACTAACGTCCCAAAGCATCATTATGTGATCACAACTAAATCTACCTTGTCGTGCGCTCCGGAGGCATATCTTTAGTTTCTGTTTCCTTTACTTCCTGCTTAACAAAACTTGATGAAGTTGAGCAGGATATAACTGGAGCTGTTGGGAGAGTTATAGAGGGCATCCCTTTAAAAGTCTCGAAATAAGTGGGCGAGGGTTGAGAGTTAAGCCGTTTTGGAGAGGGAATGAGGTGTTCGTACTCCTGCTTCTTAAAGTAGGTGGGGGAGGGTGGAGGGGTGAGCCCACAGAATAGCTCTGTCGGTAATCTCTGCTGCTGGTGAATAGTGGGGAGGTTCTGTCCAGTACTCAGGGTGCGCTGCACTCTGTAGGCAGCAGGAGCAGAGATACTGCGGTGCTGGCCACCCATTAACCCAGCACTCTGGATAAGGGAGGCGATGTCAAACCCAGACATGGAGTTGTTCAGGGCAATGCTGGACTGTGACTGGTCCGAGATGAGGGAGTCTAGAGATTGTGATATGTGGGAGACGTTGGAGGTGGTGGAGTTGGAGAGGTCCAGTTGGTGGTCGGAGGTGGTCCTCCATACTGAGTACGAGTTTTCAGGTCCACTCATTGTTAGCTCGCTATTGGGTTATATGGGATTGGTATTATTTATATAAACTTACAGAATAGCATTTAACACAGACAAAAAAAATAATATGTGGATGATGATGATGTTGATCGAGAAGGGTGCTGTCCTTAAAACTTGAAAAAAGAATATAAGTCAAGACATAGTGTCACAATTATTGACTATGACTTGTTATACTTATTATTTATTGTAATTCATTTAATTGTATATAAATTACAAAGTATCAACATAATATGTTAAACAGTGTAACTTATTGTAATTTTAATAGATGCAAGTGAGCTATAGAGTTCTGAGAAATTTGATCAGAGAAAAATTCACAAGAAAAACCCACAAAGAATTGCATATCAAGTTTTCAAACGCACAAGGATTAGGATTTTGTTTGATTATTTCAACGAATAAGAGATGGAAAAACTGCAAACTACATACGACATGCTGCATATCAGTAGTGTTATCTCTACCAGTCGTTATCTGTACTGATGATGGACATGGTCGACGCATCTAACGATTATGATATGTAAAAGTACACACAGTATCAAATATTCGTGAACATTCTAGATGTTCGTGATAATTGATAGTTAATATAAATTTGAGTATTTATCAGTAAGCTATTTTCATATCGATATTATCGTTTAAGGTATTGGGAGGCGACTATTCCATAATTTGATATACCTTGTTCATACAATGACGGTCTTGAAACCCAAAAAACTAATATGAACAGTTTACAGTTGAACAATCAAATCATATTTTACTGACCGGTTTTGCAGGTTCGGCTTCTTGTGTGCCAGTGTTGACAATTATGGGTTTTGATTTGATCCCGTTGTACAACTCCTTCAGTGTTCCCTTATCTGAATAAGTCACAATTAATCACAATGTCACTTTTAGTGCTGAAACTGTCACTTGCGCTCTTCATTGCCATAGGGTAAAGCACATAATTTTGTCATTTTTTGGCAATTTTCCGACTGCCTGATATAAACCATGGGTTTTAACCTCGTCTGAAATTCCGATTTAGATGAAACCTCCACCATGTTATAGTAGACAGTCTAGGCAAGTTCTAACACAAAAATGATAGAAATTGCTGGGGTTGAAGATGTTCAAAAAAATTATTTTGAAAAAATGACAAAATTAGGTGACTTTACTTAATTTTGTCACCCCGAACCTAATTTTGTCACTTGAAGATTGTGCAAAAAGTAACCGTTTCTCGGTATTTTAGACTACCTGGATGCATCATTCGAGCGCTTTTTTACCAACATTGACCTCAAAAATCCCAAAGATATGATGTTTTCATAGTTTTGTAGCTTGATGAAAAGATGACACTTTTTGGGTATCTAATCTTAGAAAATAGCCCCAAATGCCCCTGAAACCACTGGCATCTTGAAAAACGATTGGTTCTAGGCCTAGGTTGAAATTTTCATGTCTGTATTTTGTTAGTCATTTTAGATTGAAAAAATCAGATTATCCACCTAATATTTCTCGGCGAAAATATGCTATTATAAGTGTTATAAGTGCCTTATACATATCCTATGGGCAAAAAAACTTCAGAATAGTTGTATAAGGCCATTTTCAACACAATCTGTGATTTACAAGAAATTTGAGAAAGGTCGATTTTTTTGACAAAATTAGGTACTTTTGGCAAAATCGAACCTAATTTTGTCACCCTCTGTAACTTAAACAATAATTGCGCTAGAGACTTGAAAATTTGTACGTATACTTCTGCTGTAGAAGATATTTGAAATATGCAATGGCATGAAGCTAGCTCAATTACTTTTGAAATAGCAATAAATCAAAATTTTGAAAATTCCTTAAGAAAACCTTAAGGATCTTATTTATTTTTCGGGTTAACAGTTTCGCCTTCATTTTTGACACAGATGCAAAAGAGCTAGAAACTTAAACTTTGTACGAGCAGTTTCAGCAAAGTCTAAGCTTTCTTTATATACACAATCCTTTTCTTTCAAGCTGAAATTCCGAGCCGATGCAGTTTTTCAGAGCAAAATGACAAAATTAGGTACCCTGACAAAATTATGTGCCTTACCCTAAATAAACGTATATTTTTTATTATAAATCTAATATTACATACAGAGTCGTACTGATTCTAATAAGTAATATTAGTAATATTATTAATAATTGATTCTAACAATTGTAACTTACCGACATTAGCCTCAGTGTTACGTAAGTTACTCTCAAACTGGTTGTAAGTCATCTTCCTGTCCACCATTCCGCCGTGTAGGTCAGTATTCAGCATCATCAGAGCGCACACCAACGTGTGGATCTCCTCTGGGGAACAAACAGAGTCAGCTCTGTTTACTGTCACGATATTATAATTTATAGGCATTACACAATGATACAGACTTATCCCAATATCAGTTAAAATTCAAGATCCAGAGGGGGCTTATAAAATCTAACTGATGATCTGAAATTATGTAGGTATATCTGAAATAGCAAACACTGTGTAGTGTTTGTATAAACGGTGAAGCAGATAAACTAAAACTAAAACTGAAGGTAAAAGTGTTACCAGGGCCAGGTAGCTGTTGTCTGAGAGCTGTGTTGGTTTCGTACAGGTGTTTACTCAGGTGGAATAGGATAGCCTCCCGCGTCGAGTTCTCTCCTGAATTTTGTCGTTAAAATAGGCTATAAAATAACCGGAAAATGTAATTGATTGAAGTTTTTAAAAAGCCAATTTGGTGACGTCACGTTTTTCGAAAGACGAACAAACGAACGAACAAACATACGACGAACCTATGAGGGGAGCTCTTTCAACAAAGACCCGTACAGCATCGTCTAACTTATAGTTATCGAAGTTGAAATACTGCATATAGTACTGTGATACCTCCACATCAAATGGAACTCTGAAATGTACATTATATTTCGTTTATGTTAGCTATGGGGGGTCTTAGAACTCCACTTGATTCCCATGGTAAACGACATCCTTGGCGACGGCGGAGAACTGTCACGAGGGTTTATATAACAACTAGTTTTCGCACGTAATCTGCCATGTTCTCAACATTAAATTTAATCGTTTTGAAACTTATTTTCGATGGCGGCAAATTGCACTCGACTCGAAAAAGAAACGCGCGTGATAACGCAGAAGCTTGAATACAACTAAAGCACCATGACTCAATGTTGCCGCGCGTTACACAAAGTCAGATAAAATGTGCAAAATTGATCGCGTATCCATGTAAATTAAGTGAGGAGTTGAAAATGATAAATTTGGTGTTCATTTACCCAGAAGCTAGGGTGAAACTGACGTCCTCAGGAACGCAGCCTTCCTGATAAAACAATCTTCTGGCGCAACTTTCAGCAGTCTCCTGAAAACATTGCCTTTTCATTATCATGTATAATCTTTTCATTATTGAGATTTACGCCATCCAGTATGCATAATTATAAAGGCAATGAGTAATATGCTTGCGACAATGTAAACAATACAATGAGGTCATGTATTCATGGGTCATACAAGGAATGGAATGTATGGAACTTGGAGCATGGAATGGGTTTATATCATATTAGGAGCTGGCAGAGTCTAAGGTTACACTCTGCACCGAAAACAAATTAATCCTCTACCCGAAGTGCCTCCTGATTGTTTAACACTAAAACTGTGAAACCACCCTTACCCTTGGTGGTATATCTGGTGGAAGCTCTGGAGGCAGTTCTGGAGGCAGGGATGGTTCTGTCTCGTATTGAGGCGGAGGCGAGTATACTTGTGCTATACCGCTGAACGGACGATCATCGGTGGGAGGCGACTTGTTTGATCGCTTCTTGTTTACTTTAGCGTACACCTATGGAGAGGAATAAAATTAATCACAATATGAAATATGAAATAGTAGTACATTTCCTGATTACATCTCGACAATTTTTAGTGACCAATAACGTTTTCGTCTTCCGCCAACACTCGGAATTCGCAACCAAAAGCTGAAAATATTGTCATCTCTACTGTCTACAGTCGGCTAACATCCATGGCTCCATGAGCACACAAATATTTGACACCATTATTTCATGTACAGTGACCATTCCTCCTGACGTACAACAGTCACGTGCACAACTATCACTCACATACCATGCACACACGGAACACACACACTCACACAGTCAGTACATACTTTGTACAGCATAATGTTTACGTGTATAATTGTCATATATTGTACAATGTCTTTAAACAAAGTGGTGGCCATATCAGACGGGAGCATTGCCTGTTATTATTATAAAGGTTGGTTGCAGTCTCGACATGTACTAATTATATCAGGAGAGAGCACATTGACACATATTTTATAACTTTATCAAGGCTAATTGGTGTACTGTGGTGATTAATGACAGCTAATCAATGATCACCTTTTAACTGACTTAAACCAACTAATCTATCTAGAAGTTGTCGGTAAGATTAGGAGACATGGTGATTGTTTGCTTTCTACAGAACATTTTTCTGTTGTAAGATTTTAGCACTTTGGCAACTGCAGTCCTCAGAAGTACTCGTAGGAAGTACTCAGAAGAAGGGTTGGAACCACATTTCTATTTTTGGAGCTCTGATTAATGAAGTAGTTCCATGTTTTGGGTATCTAGACGTAAATATGACGTAAATATGTCACGTGGAAGTTAAAGTAGAGCTGCAGACAGTAGGAGGTTCGTATTTTTCAGAACTAAATATAAAACATTGCCTTATAAGGCAATACAACAAGCATCTTACAACACTTGCTGAGTGCTACTGATTAAAGAGAGTTAAACAACCACACTGTACACACTGTAACTCTATACTTGTGGACACACTTAATGTTGACATTAGCTCGATGTTAAGTCACTAATAATAAATAAATAAATAAATTCTAACATTTATTACACGCTTCGACATTAAAATATACCCAACAAAGATGTACATTAAAGTCATTCAAGCGAGACTTAGTGTTGAAATAGCAAGATTATGGACTTTTTAAACAGTTCAATGGCCCACTAATCATCTACTAGATAGAAATTATGAAACACTTAATAAATGAGTTGGATACACATTCCACAGCCTCTTTGAAACTCCACTTTTTAGGTGATTCTTGAGTTACTAACTAGTTAACTAGTTACTCGCACGCTGAAGCCGCCTTTAAAAATCAAGTAAAGTAAGTCACTAACAAACTGATAGTTTCATTTCAATCTTCAGCTCAGAGAACTAATTAATTAATTAATTAATTGTTGTTAAAAAACTAATGATTGCTTTTAAGAAGGAGTAAGTTTGGAAATTATCCTAAGTTTCATCTATCAACTGGTTAGTTCATGGTCATAATTATATTAAAGTTGAGTCCTTCTGTAGAAAAAGAATCACCGAGCAGTAAGTTTAGTTACATACTTGAAGTTAAGAATTACTTCAATGACCCGCCCAAATATTCCTCCAAAATGCGACTCATAGCACGACGCTTATATATAAGTAATATAAGTTATGTAAATTATGTAGCCAATGATGTAATAAACTATTTTAAATGAAGCCAAAATATGTAGATACTCGTTAAATCTGCACTATACATACTTTGGATACAATTATTTCTTGTCAATGTGCTCTGAAACTGTTATTTAAATAATAATTACAACAACAAATGACTCACTGGAACGTTAGCGGGCTGAGCAGGGGGAGGGGGTGGAGGTGTGAATGTGGGATTAACGTCAAATACCTCCGTCTCGTTCCGGGAGTCATTGTCCCGTAGTCCGGAGTAGGTCCGGGTCGGGGTACCTTGGTCCTGTGGGGTCTTCATTGACTGTTTAGTGGCTTCCAAAAACACAGATATTGGTAGGTATTTAGTTGGGGCTCGCCACAATGTGGACCATTATTAGCTTCATGGCACGGACTATGGGTATATTATCAGTCCCTTGTATAGTGCAGAGCTCAAAAAGGCTTGATTATGTGGACGTCTAATTTATTAATAAATTATAAAATTTAATTGAATTAATTAATCCTGTTAAAAGGTAACATGGTAGATACCCTGGATCTCACCTCGGAGAGGAAGCTGAGACTGGTCTGTTTTAGTCCTGTGTTTCCTCGTGCTGTGTCCAGGTCATTATAAAGGTGATCATTTGGCAACTTGTACCTGAACACGTGACAATAGTTAACATGACAACAGTTAACATGACAACAGTTAACATGACGACAGTTAACATGACGACAGTTAACATGACGACAGTTAACATGACGACAGTTATCATGACGACAGTTATCATGACGACAGTTAACATGACGACAGTTAACATGACGACAGTTAACATGACGACAGTTATCATGACGACAGTTATCATGCCGACAGTTATCATGACGACAGTTAACACGACGACAGTTAACACGACGACAGTTAACACGACGACAGTTAACATGACGACAGTTAACATGACGACAGTTATCATGACGACAGTTAACATGACGACAGTTAACATGACGACAGTTAACATGACGACAGTTATCATGACGACAGTTATCATTTGTTGGATAAACTGAGAGCAAATTTCTGCATTTCTACTGTGGGAGGGTGTGTGCCCTCACTATTTATATTACGAATTATTGTCAAAAATCGAAGGAAGTTGCAAGATTTTGACCAAATATAGAATCTTAGAAATTTCTTCATGATTGCAAAATCCTTTATTCGAAAACTCGAATTGCTTAACATCAAATTATTTAATTATTCGATATGAGATGATGGCAAGAGAAATCATACTTTTCAGAGGAAGCGGAGACATTGGGAGAAATATCAGCGGGTATATTATATGGTATTCTGGAATCTTCCTCCACCAGGTTAGGTGGTTCAGGTGGTGGTTCTGGTTCTCTGGCAGCAGCTGGCTCCGGCTTTCTTGTGCTTCCTCCTGTCATGAGGTATCATTATTATTATTACTTCTCAGTGTGGTAGAGCTGGTGAAGTAAAAGTGGGAAACCCGAAATATAACAAAAACAAGATTACATGTCCACCACATGATGGGACAACATTACTGATATAACTATTACTGTAACAAGTGACCTGCCCTTGTATCTTGTTGTTGTATCTTGTTGTTGTAACAAGTGACAGTAAACGTGATAACAACAATAACCACTGCTACTGACCATTAGAGAGGTTAGAGTAGGAGCAACAATAACTACTGCTACTGACCGTTAGAGAGGTTAGAGTAGGAGCAACAATAACTACTGCTACTGACCGTTAGAGAGGTTAGAGTAGGAGCAACAATAACTACTGCTACTGACCGTTAGAGAGGTTAGAGTAGGAGCAACAATAACTACTGCTACTGACCGTTAGAGAGGTTAGAGTAGGAGCAACAATAACTACTGCTACTGACCGTTAGAGAGGTTAGAGTAGGAGCAACAATAACTACTGCTACTGACCGTTAGAGAGGTTAGAGTAGGAGCAACAATAACTACTGCTACTGACCGTTAGAGAGGTTAGAGTAGGAGCAACAATAACTACTGCTACTGACCGTTAGAGAGGTTAGAGTAGGAGCAACAATAACTACTGCTACTGACCGTTAGAGAGGTTAGAGTAGGAGCAACAATAACTACTGCTACTGACCGTTGGGGGGGTTAGAGTAGGAGCAACAATAACTACTGCTACTGACCGTTAGAGAGGTTAGAGTAGGAGCAACAATAACTACTGCTACTGACCGTTAGAGAGGTTAGAGTAGGAGCAACAATAACTACTGCTACTGACCGTTAGAGAGGTTAGAGTAGGAGCAACAATAACTACTGCTACTGACCGTTAGAGAGGTTAGAGTAGGAGCAACAATAACTACTGCTACTGACCGTTAGAGAGGTTAGAGTAGGAGCAACAATAACTACTGCTACTGACCGTTAGAGAGGTTAGAGTAGGAGCAACAATAACTACTGCTACTGACCGTTAGAGAGGTTAGAGTAGGAGCAACAATAACTACTGCTACTGACCGTTAGAGAGGTTAGAGTAGGAGCAACAATAACTACTGCTACTGACCGTTAGAGAGGTTAGAGTAGGAGCAACAATAACTACTGCTACTGACCGTTAGAGAGGTTAGAGTAGGAGCAACAATAACTACTGCTACTGACCGTTAGAGAGGTTAGAGTAGGAGCAACAATAACTACTGCTACTGACCGTTAGAGAGGTTAGAGTAGGAGCAACAATAACTACTGCTACTGACCGTTAGAGAGGTTAGAGTAGGAGCAACAATAACTACTGCTACTGACCGTTAGAGAGGTTAGAGTAGGAGCAACAATAACTACTGCTACTGACCGTTAGAGAGGTTAGAGTAGGAGCAACAATAACTACTGCTACTGACCGTTAGAGAGGTTAGAGTAGGAGCAACAATAACTACTGCTACTGACCGTTAGAGAGGTTAGAGTAGGAGCAACAATAACTACTGCTACTGACCGTTAGAGAGGTTAGAGTAGGAGCAACAATAACTACTGCTACTGACCGTTAGAGAGGTTAGAGTAGGAGCAACAATAACTACTGCTACTGACCGTTAGAGAGGTTAGAGTAGGAGCAACAATAACTACTGCTACTGACCGTTAGAGAGGTTAGAGTAGGAGCGGGGCTGGTAGAGTCTCCTCCCACTGCCCGGTGAGATAACAGTGTTTACAGGTGCTACTTCTTCTACTGAAACAGTAGGAGCTGCTGGGGCCGGGGCAGGACTACCTGACCCCCGCTCTTTTGCCTGGATAAACGCGTTCAACCGTCTCTTTAGATCAGGATCTGGGAGAAAATGATCATGAATAGTGGAGAACCTGAGGCTGTAATGTTTTAGGAGCTATTGTTTTATTGATATGATATTTGGATTTAGGACGCAGATTCAATGCTGCTGTGTAGGATTACCACATTTTTATGATATCTTACTTTGAGTATTTACAAAATTTGAAAAAATGTAAGATATGTAATAATTAGAGTAATGTAAAAAAGTAATCAAATTTCAACTGAACTGACCGTCTTGTAAGGACAGTTTCAAAGTCGTTCCTGACTCGTTTATCAACTGTATAACTGACAGAGAGAGAAGTTAAATATTATATATATTATAATATATACATATATTATATATTTACATGAGAGTGTAAATATTTGTGATAATTTGAGAGTTGTAAAATTGAGAAGTTATTTTCGTCGTGATACATTATTTACAGTGTTACGTTATACGTAGGTAATATTTTTATTTCAAACAAACGGTCTGAAGAATGTCATGTTCAGATATATAAGCGAACGGTAACATAACATTGAAAAGTTTTGCTATCTAAAAAATAAGAAGCCAGACTTATTACTTACGACACTGTGTTCCAATTTTACCGAGTACAAAAACTGCTTCTATTAAAACTATTCACAGTTAGTAAAAAGAACGTGAAAACTATTAATATCCAATGAAGAGAACGTTAAAATTATTAATATTCACCGTTTTTAGATGGCAAGTCCGACACGGACATGCCATTAACGTTCAGGATCCTATCTCCTTTCTCCACCTGAAACACATTACATTTGTAAATGTTGGCACAATGTTGGCACAATCAAACTGTTCCACTGAACACAATATGTTTAGTTGATATTATCTCACAAATGATTACATAAATTAATGGCGCCAATCGAACTAAAACCAAGCATCTATACAATAGAATATTAAACATCCGCAAATCAGATTAACTCATTGAAACTATGGTTGACGTATGTCACAACATAATTCCCAGATAAGCCCATGATAAGCTGACACCCTGTTGATAGCAAGTGTAACAAAGTTCGTACAGTTTACTTTTGGTATTGTGGTGGAAATGTACACTTACTTTTGGAAAACAAGAGAGGTTTTTGTGCCACTTAGCCATAAAATATTAGGTAAAGAAGACTAAAAGATCCAAACGACTTACAAGGAATGTAATATCGAACGAGGAATGTAAAAACAGGACGGAAGGCACATATTATTATGATATGATGATATTATTATGATCAGAGGATCGCGCTATTTTTAGTAGTGGCATGATTAGAATTCAGACTAGATATCTTATTATTTACATTACATACATTCCGTTAGTAAAGTTCGAAAGATACGAGGATAGTGTAATGACTTAACTCAGTGTAAATGTTATTCAAGAGGGTAGATAGTGTAGACACTAAACATAATAACACGGCGTAAATAAATTACAAACGAAGGACTGTTGCAATAAATATTTTTATCATTCGACAAATGTAGGGTTTGCAAGACAAAGCTAATTTTGACAAACCATGAGTCAATATTTTCAGGATCAATGCTGACAATGACCTTATCACTCCTAGAACACGAATTTCAGATATCACACTTCCTTTATGAACAGCAGATGCAAGAAGAGGCTCAAGTGCTAATGTTCAAGCTTATTATATGTAATAATTTAAGATGACTTTGTCGATTAAGTATATGTTGAAATAAAGAAACAAAAATAGACATACATGAGAAAATAAGGACACGAAGAAAACATGATAATATATTATATATAAAATAAAATAAACAAATTAATAACAAGAGAGTCCCACCTGTCCTGAGTTGTGAGCAGGTTTGCTGGGAGCCAGTGTGAAGACCATAGGAGGCAGGTACGTGTCACTGCCCCCAATAACCGAGAACCCGAACCCAGCATCTCCCCGCACCAACTCCACTACCTTTGTTAACATGCCATTATTGTCATGCTGTCCTTGGGGAATTGTGTTGAGTTAGTGGGGCTGACATAATGACAAGTTTTCCTTGAATACCTGGAGTCTGGGATATGTTATTGTAGTTTATATAATACAATATTAGTTAACACCTTGTTTTTATATAATACATTATTAGTTAACACCTTGTTTTTAGTCGGGGTGTGATCCAGGGTGAGTGTCGACAAGTTGCGGGGTTTACTGTGAGGTTGATGGGTGGAGGTATGAGTGGTGGGTTGGTGTTTATTGTGTTTCATGATTTATTGTTTACTTATGCTGTGAGTAATGATCGTTTGAAGATCATGAAGAGTGTACAATCTGATGTTTTTGTCATGTAACATACATACATACATACTAATTTAATTAATCAGCATTGAACACTGATCATGATTATATTGTATAATATTCATGAATACAGAAAATGCAGTAAAACAGTATTTTATATTTGACATGCTCTAAATTCTACTTAATCATGATAATGAATCAATTTCAAATAATTCTACGATTAAATCGTTATTAAATAATATGTCAATATTAAATCAGTGATATGTTACAGATTCTGGTACAATAGTACGGTTGATATAAAGAGGGTTTTTGTCATGTGATTTAGAAAAAATGTAATTTAAGATCAACATGCTCAACTTGTCACTAAACGGATCATTCTCGGAAAATGATGATCTTTGAATTTAGTTAGGCAACTTTTATCGATTGGCACTACTTCCGTAGCAAAAAAGTGTCCAGCTTAAAAAACATGTCAAAAACAGCATTATATCGCAAATGCGCAAATCTATTTTCCTAACCCAAGAGTAGACAGGGCAAACTGGAGCGAAAGCATGAACAAAAACATTTCAAAGTATAAACAATGTGTTGATTCGCAACCTGAGCAAGAATTGCCAATGGTAGATCTTGTATGCAAGCACAAGGGGGGTATCCAATGGTGAAAAATGGTGAATGATTTTTATGGTGAATCGGGTTTCCAAATTGTAAAATTTCACCATTTTTCGCCATTTTTCACCATTTTTGTCGATGAATATAATTGCCTTCTAGTTTTAGTTTTGACCTGGTGATATCACTCCCAAAAAAATTGTTGTTTATTAACTCAGATTTTGAGGATATAAAGAAACAATTAAACATGTGTTTCATTAAATTTAAAGTAAGTCTAGGTTTTACAATTCGAAAACTCGAAACTCGATTCACCAAAACTATCAATCACCATTTTTCATCAAAACTAGTGAACACTGAATATGGTGAGAAAGGTACATTGAAAATGGTAGGGCCCCCCATGGTAACTTAAAGTGAAAATGGTGCAGTGAGAAAGATACATTGATATTGGTAATTTTTGGTGAAAATGGCGAGTAAGGTACATCAAAATTGGTTACTTTAGTGAACATGGCGAGTAAGGTTCATCAAAACTGAGCTCTTGGACCTTGGTACACATTTAATATTCCAATTTGATACTTTGAAAATAAAAAACTAAAATGGTGAAAAATTGTGAAAAATGGTGAATGATTTTTATGGTGAATAGGGTTTCCAAATTGTAAAATTTCACCATTTTTCACCATTGAATTCCCCCCACCCGCCAATATTTGTGTGTATGACGAACAACAAATTAAACAAACAGATACAATAACGAATTCTATGTAAAAGATACTTTGATCACGATGGAAGATTTACCTGACAGACACAATAAGGGGTTGTTCACATATTACGTATTCAGCCGAGGGAAGGGGGGGGGGGGGGGGTTTCCAAATCATTATGCTCTAGTGTAATTTTGACACAATAGCTATTTATAAAACTGATTACAGGGGGATTTCAAACAGATACAACCACGACGATGCTCCATTACTTAATGTCAATAAAGGCACCAAATCATAATGTCTCGCCATCTTATCAAGAACTGAACAACATCTTGCAGGACTGCCCATTTAGTTTCTCACCATAGTGGATTCTGATATTTCTTGTAGGATCACTCATTTTTCTTGCAGCATAGGAGCTCTGTGAACATTTGAATCAATTCTCCCCAGAGTGAGTTTTCATATGTTCAGTAAGATGACCTGCTTGTCTTGCAGCAAATGAACACTCAGAACACTTGAAGGGTTTCTCGCCTGAGTGAGTTCTCATATGTACAGTTAGATGACCTGATTGTTTTGTAGCATATGAACACTCAGAACACTTGAAGGGTTTCTCGCCTGAGTGAGTTCTCATATGTACAGTAAGATTACCTGCTCGTATTGTAGCATATGAACACTCAGAACATTTGAAGAGAAAGCCTGAGTGAGTTCTCATATGTACAGTAAGATGACCTGCTTGTTTTGTAGCAAATGAACACTCAGAACACTTGAAGGGTTTCTCGCCTGAGTGAGTTCTCATATGTTGAGTAAGATTACCTGCTTGTTTTGTAGCAAATGAACACTCAGAACACTTGAAGGGTTTCTCACCTGAGTGACTTCTCATATGTTCAGTAAGATGACCTGTTTGTTTTGTAGCAAATGAACACTCAGAACACTTGAAGGGTTTCTCGCCTGAGTGAGTTCTCATATGTACAGTAAGATGACCTGCTCGTCTTGTAGCATATGAACACTCAGAACATTTGAAGGGTTTCTCGCCTGAGTGAGTTCTCATATGTACAGTTAGATGACCTGCTTGTTTTGTAGCATATGAACACTCAGAACACTTGAAGGGTTTCTCGCCTGAGTGAGTTCTCATATGTACAGAAAGATTACTTGCGTGTCTTGCAGCAAATGAACACTCTGAACATTTGAAGGGTTTCTCTTCAGAGTGAGTTCTCATATGCACAGGCGGACTCTCACTAGGAGACAGAACTAATGTCCTCTGACGATCTGTTCCAATCAAGTTATCTGAAGTATCAAAGTAGTCAGGTACTTCTGAGCTGCTATGATCATGGTGCTGTTTTAAATGTTCTATTAACTGAGTGTCTGAATAAACATGTTCAGCACAAACTGGACAGATAAAAATAGATGGTTTATCTGATTCAGATATAAGTTCTTCTTTTATTGTACAATTTGATATTGTTTTATGTTCTTTGATGTGCTCAACAAAGTAGTCTTCTGAAAAGTAATGTGCTCCACACATTGGGCAGAGGAAACCGTTTGACTTTTCTGGGTTCTCCATTTGCTCTGATTTGATCTCTTGCTTACAGTCTTTAGACATTCTGAGGTATTGAAATATAAGAGATATCTAAAGTACATTTATTTTAAATTCGATTGTGAAGGAATTTGGCATTGATAACGTGCCTTGCCTTATCCAATGAAAATCACAAATATTTGCCCAGTTAAACCGGGGGTATCCAATGGTGAAAAATTGTGTAAAATGGTGAATGATTTTTATGGTGAATCAGGTTTCCAGATCGTAAAATTTCACCATTTTTCGCCATTTTTCGATGAGTATATTTGCCTTCTAGTTTTAGTTTTGACCTGGTGTTATCACTCTAAAACAATATTTCGTTAGATTTTGAGGATATAAAGAAACAATTAAACATGTGTTTCATTATAATATTTAAAGTACGTCTAGATTTTACAATCCGGAAAGTATCAATCACGATTTTTCATCAAAACTAGTGAACATGGATACAAGGATACAAGGATACAAGGATACAAGGATACAAGGATACAAGGATACAAGGATACAAGGATACAAGGATACAAGGATACAAGGATACAAAAGTGATAATTACTTTATTGAGTACACAATAGTTTTAATTCTGAAATAATTCTAATTATTTACAAATGTGTAGGGATAATTTAGAAATGTTATATATAATGCTAGTTAGAAAAAATAAATAAATCGAGTTTGTATGGTTCAATTTTATTTTAAGGTCCTATAGCATTATGCACTTGCCAGTATTTGAGTGGAAATCTGGGCTCTTATAACAGGCTGTATATTGTTCGTTCACAGAGAGAATTGAATGGATTGCTCTTGCTGTGGCAGTGAGTGTGGTAGGATCTAGAGTTTTGTTGGAGAGCAAACCGGCTAGGTCAGTAATGTTTTGGGGATGGAAATTGAATTTTTCCCTAACTGAGGAGTAGAGCAAACAGTCAATCAATACGTGACTTTCGTCCTCAATAAACTCATGGTGAGAAAGGTACTAGGAACCGACCAGATTGGGGTTTTGGCTGCCGGACCGGATTCAGCCGGATTTGGATCTCAAATCCGGCAAGCCGGATTTTGCCGGACCGGAACCGGTGGTTTCAGAGTGAAATAAAAGGCAGCCGGATTTTGCCGGTTTTTGCCGGATGTTGCTGGAAAATTTCCTTCCTTTCCACGCCTAATCTTCATCGAGCACTTCTTGCAGCTTGCATAAGGGATCCCATTTTCTTCTGAGTAGAACAACCAGACGGACGATGTTTTAGATTTACTACTACTCGACTCGACTTAGGGCGGCTTCAACGTCCGAACAGATATAGTTTTTCTTACAAATCTTCCTATCTACTACTAGACATTGCTTAAACAAGCAGTACGTAGCAGACACAATGTAACACGAGTAGACACGAGTCACGACACTAGACGAGTAATAATCAGAAATGATATCTAATTGGCATATGCTGCCAGACCCCTGATTGAGCGCGTTTGTGCGAATTCCCTTTTTTTCATGCAAGTCTGAGTATCATTGGGTCACGTGACTTACAACCAGAGGTGCTTAATAAGGTTGTTCGTAAGCAGGCACTGTCTAGTACAGTACTAATCACCGTCTGGCGTCTAGAGCTGAGTCACATGATTGCAGTAATGAGCTAATTAAGTAGCTACCCAGACCCTGAACACGTGACCTTCATATTTCGTTTTCATAATCAGAAGATTAAATACTGCCAATTTTGCGATTATAGCCGGGGGCTAGCCCAGGGAGGTGGCCCAAAATATTTTCCGGTTTTTTCTAAGTCCGCACCTACCCCTCGATACACTATTCTGTATTCTGGACTCAAGGTTTCCCCCGGTAATGCGATCTCGGAAGGCAGGCCTCCTCTTTGCAACACGAGCTCGGAAGCGGGAGCTCTCGATACAGGAGGTACGTCTCGAGAACGACTCGGACCGAAAACTTTAAAGTTAAAATTTTTCGAAGTTTTTCTGAAAACCACTTTTTTCCACGATTCAGGCTACCCTGTTCATTATTAGCCGAAAATATTTTTTCGGTTTTTCGAAGTACCCACCTACCCCTCGATACACAATTCTGGACTCGAGGTTTCCCCTGGTAATGTGATCACGGAAGGCAGGCCTCCCCTTTGCAACACGAGCTCGGAAGCGGGAGCTCTCAATACAGGAGCTGTACGTCTCGAGAACGACTCGGACCGAAAACTTTTAAGTAAAAATTTTTCGAAGTTTTTCTGAAAACCACTTTTTTCCACGATTCAGGCTACCCTGTTCATTATTAGCCGAAAATATTTTTTCGGTTTTTCGAAGTCCGCACCTACCCATCGATACACAATTCTGGACTCGAGGTTTCCCCCGGTAATGTGATCTTGGAAGGCAGGCCTCCCCTTTGCAACACGAGCTCGGAAGCGGGAGCTCTCGATACAGGAGGTACGTCTCGAGAACGACTCGGACCGAAAAACTTCTAAGTCAAAATTTTTTAAAAGTTTTTCTGAAAACCACTTTTTTTTCCACGATTCAGGCTACCCTGTTCATTATTAGCCGAAAATAATTTTTTGATTTTTTTTTTCGGTAAAAAAAACTGAAATCCGGCAAAAATCCGGCAAATTTTTTTCCAGCCGGAGCCGGAACCGGAACCGGATTTTGAAGTCGGATATCCGGCCGGAACTGGATTCAGCCGGATTTCCGGTCGGTTCCTAAAAGGTACATTGAAACTGATAACTTTAAGTGAAAATGGCGAAAAGATACATTGAAACTCGTAAAATTTAGTGAACATGGTGAGAAAGGTACATCAAAATTGGTAACTTTTAGTGAACACTGAACATGGTGAGAAAGGTACATTGATACTGGTAACTTTTGGTGAACATGGCGAGTAATGTACATCAAAAATGGTAACTTTAAGTAAACTAAGGTACATCCAAACTAGTAACTTTTATTAAACTTGGCTAGTAAGGTACATCAAAACTGGTAACTTTTGGTGAATATGGTGAGAAAGGTACATCAAAATTGGTTAGTTTTGGTGAACATGGCTGGTAATTTAAGGTACATCAAAACTAGTAACTTTTGGTGAACATGGCTAGTAAGGTACATCAAAACTGGTAACTTTTGGTGAATATGGTGAGAAAGGTATATCAAAACTGGCAACTATTGTCTTTTAGTGAATATAGCGAGTAAAGTACATGATCAAAACTGGTAACTTTTGTCGATCATGATGTGTAAAGTACATCGGAACTGGTCATTTTTAGTGAACAATGGCGAGTAAGATACATCAATTCTAGTAACTTTTGGTGATCATGGTGAGAAAAGTAAATCAAATCTAGTTACTTTTGGTGAACATGGTGAGAAAAGTACATTAAATCTAGTAACTTTTAGTGATCATGATGAGAAAATTACATCAAAACTGGTTACTTATAGTGAACATGGCGAGTAAGGTTCATCAAAACTGAGCTCTGGGTATTGTCATATAACTTACCAGAAGAAAAGATTTAATATTTCAATTTGATTTTTTTTAAATAAATAAAATGGTGTAAAATTAAAATGGTGAAAAATGGTGAATGATTTCTATGGTGAATCGGTTTTCCAAATTTCACCATTTTTCACCATTTTACACCATTGGATACCCCCCAAGCACAATCTCTGATAGCATAAACATATTCTTTTTCAAGGACCCTCAAGCAGTTATCAACCAAAATCCCCCCACGATCTACAGTGGCGTAACGTTGCCTGTTGGCGCCCCCCTGCCGAAAAGGCGCCCCCTGTTGGCGCCCCCTCTCCTTTTGGTGCCCCTCCCTAAAATTGAACAAATTAGGCGATTTAAGAGGATGCGCCGGTAAAATCTCTAAAAAAGTGTGTATCTAGAGCAAAACGCGCAGTTTTGCTAGTACTTTAGTTAAGTTTTCGAAATTGTCCCACATTCAAAGGACGATTTGGCGCCCCCCTAAGACGGCGCCCCCCCCCCTGCACAGCGGGGTCAGCAGGGCCCTTCGTTACGCCACTGACGATCTAGTCGCAAATAAAGGCTTTTAAAAAAGTCAAGCTTTTTATTTCCTGTTGACCACACACAAACTCCATCAGGTAATATGTCACCTGATTTTAAAATAACAGAGTTTTCTTTGACTTCTTGAGCCGATTCTCCTGTTAACGTCACTATGTTCCCAGAAACAAATTTCTTCTCAAAATAAGTATACAAAGTTTCACTAAAAGATCCAAGTAGATACTCACCAGCCTCGACAACAACAATGTGGTACTTATTTGCCAGATCAGGATACCATCTACTTACATCGTATTGAAGAAAATCATACAATTCACTGGCAAATTCTATACTAGTAGGATCACAACCAACAATCAAAAAGTTAGTAACTTCTTTCTCTCTTCGGGCACAAAGAAGGGGCACAAAGAAGCACTACTAGCAATTGTGTCCTTTACCCTCCTACATAATTTGAACATTTTTGTGGCTAACTCATTGAACAACATCTGAATTAAAATGTGTCTAGTATTAAAAGATTCAGTAAGTAATTTTTTCATGTACGCTGTACACTGTAGTTAGTAAATCAAATCAAACTTTTTCGATCAGCCGCGCGCTGAACCAGTGTTGCACTAGGTAAAAATTGTGTATATTTTGTTCATTTTTGAGTGTAAATTAATTTATTAATTTATCACAAATTATTTTATTATAATATAACCACTTATGTGAAATGGTTATTTTGACTTTAAATATTTGAACTAAATATGAATTGATTGTGGGTATAAAATAAAATTTGTTTTACTAAAAAATTTGTTTTACTCTCTTCTTCACTTCAAAATGGACTTGATGCACGTTCAAAGCATTCAATTTCTGATAGATCTTGCATGTTCAATCTGCTTTAAAAAGAAGAGGTTGTGCTTGTTTGTACCGGATAGGTTCTGGACAATATTTTCCTCGTCAGTCTCAACACCAGGTACTCCAAATGTATTTGATTTAGTGCCGACTGCTGTAATAAGTTTATCGTAGTCAACAGTAAACTCAGTGGAGTCATCATATACTGACTCACAGAAAATGTTTGTGGTTGAAATAAACAGTCTTTGATGCTGCTTGATAATAGTTGATTCCTTTTACTGTTCTTATAAGTGCAACTACGCGATTTATTAATTGACAATGTCAATCCTTTGCAGATTGACGTAACTCAGTGGTACATCATGACGTTGCGAGAAGCATTATTGGATTCGCGGCGCTACCAGGATTCACTTAACCATGTGCTTTCGCGCCACTGCGGGCGCGCTTGTGAGGTGGGCGCGCGCTACTGCAAGCGCAAGGGCTCTGGACACTGGATAGAGCAAGCCCAGTACACAGTCTAGTTGCTAGTTGTATCACGTTGTGACCTCCACGGTCGTTTCATTGACCATTGTTAATGATCTGGCCCGGCGCGCGCTACTTCGTAGCTCGTGCCGTTCGAGAAGAAAGCGGCGCGCGCTACTTCGAAGAAATTTAGACGAGTAACATCCGTCAATCGTTTCACTATCGTCCTGACGATACAGGAGTAGCCGCGCACTTCGTGCGCGGTGGGTCATACAATGTATGACAAGTTGCTAGTAGTGCACCGCGCTACAACTACGCTACAACTAGGCGATTCAAAATTTCAAAGTTGTGTAAGTTAAGATTATGAAACGCTTAATTGATAATGTCAATTCATCTCAGCTCGGCGCGGCACAGTAGCGCATTTCGCCGATCTAGAGAGTGTGTCGCTGTGAGAAGCCTCATTGAACGTGCGCGGCGCGGCACAGTAACGCATCGCGCTACAATTACAAATGAAACGCTTTCGACTTCGGACCCCCACTGTTTACCTTGCAGCAGCTGTAGTAGCCCGATATACTTTTAAACTATTATCACATTTCGTTCTAATGAACAAGAGACTAATTTTCAATTAAGTTCTCGTCCACTGTCAACTTGGCTTGTATCACGTTCGCGTTGTGACTCCCACGGTCGTTTGATCACTATATCGTCCTGACGATACAGGGGGAGCCGCGCACTTCGTGCGCGGCGGGTCATACAACGTATGACAAAACTTGGCTGCATTATTGTTTTTCTTCTCCGTGAAATTAAGCACAATTGCGTGTGAGTAGCTTTTGTTAATGTGCCTCATAATTGTATCACGTCGTTGGTCGTGACTTGCTCTAACCAGAGCCTTCTGATTTCGCTTGCAGTAGCGCGCGACCGCCGAAGGCGGCAAAGGAACAAAGTGAATTTGTGAAACAAGCGCGTCACGCAGTACGCGTAGACATATGGCTATGCGTGAAGGTCGTGACCATGCACCATGCATTGTGCATTGACATTTCATTCAGTGGGCCGGGGTGAAAGTCACGATACAGCCGCGCATTCGTGCGCGGCGCGAGTCTACAGCATTGAACATACAACGTGAGGCAACTTTGATTCACTATGTCAATCCTTTGCAGCTATAGTTTGACGAGGCCCAATGGTGCATCTCGTCGATCTACTGGTTGCGTCATGCGAGACAAATTATTTTGTATTTGATGCGCGGCGCGGCCCAGTAGTGCATTGTGCTACAAAAGGCAACGTAACCTAATTTAACGTAAGGTAATCTAACCTCAAATGTCAAAAGTGATCATGGTTAACTTTAAGTGAAAGCGCGATGCATTATATTACTACTGGGCCGCGCATCAAAGCAAATAATGTTTCTCGGATCTGATCGCAAGATCGGGTTGCACCACTGGGCCATAAGCGGGTTAAAATTAAATATCCACAACTTTCGATTCTATTGGTACGTAAAATATGGTATTGTAAAATGTTCCTTTCGTTTCATGTAACGTCACATTGCATCACACATGAACGTCACGTTTTGTGTTTTCAATTTAATTGGGAATTGGTCAATTCGTAATTTCAGTCCCGCATGGGATTGATATTCAATCAATTCTTATAAAATATAAACCCAGCCTTTAAATTTCATGCTTTTAGCGTAATCGTATTACTATTGTTATTTCGAACTTTTAACGGCCAGCTTTTTGGGGCCATAGGCATATGCAATATGCAATATGTAAATGTTATAACTCCCATTGGATACCAGAGAGTTGTGACTTTATAATTAATTACATTTTTTCATTATAGACACGCACGTACATTAAGTTTTCGTCTTTATATTTGCAGCTGTTAGTGTTATTGCATGCATGGTAGATTATTGTCTATTTTCTATTTTATTTGATATTTGCAAGTGTCTAGTTATATCGTATAGTATCACTGACACTATCGTTGCTTTTGTGTTGCCAGATCTCAGTTCCTTTTATTTTACAGAGTTTTATTTTACAGAGTTTTATATCAACAGGAAGCGATGTAACAAATGAATTTATATGCATATTTTCAAACAATTTAAAACACCATTTTCTCTCATGTTGAATCGATTTATCGTTGCAAAAACAACTTTGCTGATAACATTTAAATTATAAATTACACGTTAAGTTTTTCGAAAGACTCTGCATTATCATTGCAGGTATGTTATTTACATACTCAAAAGCTGTTTACACACCCAGAGCATATCTGTAGTCGAACAATAAAATCTCAGATCCGACAAAATTTCGACGGTCAAATATCGACAGGACCGGTCGCAGACCCTTTACCAATTACCATTCGTTTGAATTATTTAAAAATTTAGTTTATCTCATCTCAACGGGGGAAAACATTCCTCAAATGTGTGACTCGTAGTTTTGCTCTGATTATTTAATTAGCAAAGCCCTTAAAATCAAATACACAAATCTTATAAAACAAGAACCAACAATGAACGAAAAATAATATTAATTCACTTGGCTGTGTACGTTCTGGAGTTGTCTCCCATAACACTGTAACACATAAGACCAAAGCATAGTTAATTAATAGTAACAATTAAATCAAGCATGACATGACCAAACTAAAACAGTGATATGATCGAAGATCAAACAAAACGTACAGGACGGAACCTTGGTGTGATCTAAGAAAGAATACAAAGTTTTTAATGAAATCGGGGAATAGCCCAGACTAGAATCTCAATGCCAGCAGATAAAATTGATGGCAAGGGCGACCGTCGTGTTTATATTTATACAATTAGTATATAAAATTATTTTGGTTGGGCCATATAAAATTCTAAAATTCTGGAAATATTTAAGATCTCTCTGACTTTCTATAAAACTTTTGTTTGACATAGTCTGGGATTTAGGCAGGGCCTGGACTTGATGCTGGAGTCGTCGCCTCCTGTGAGATCTTGAATACTGACTCTCGCTCAGTTAGATACGCCTGGAAAGATGTAAATGTTTAGTTTTAGGTCGACAATAATCATCAGCCAGTCCTGACTCTGATTGATAAACGTTTTCATATTACTTTGCAAGTGGTGATTTTTAATTAATTAGCACAAGAATTTGTGCACCATGGCAAATGACCCTTTTTAATTAATTATCACAAATAATTAATTACCTCGATGATAGAGAGTTTTTCCACCAAAGTGTGAGGGGGTTGCCCCGGTTTTATTTTTACTGCTCGACACTTCATCTCAACGATGTTCTTTATCGCCAGCTCCAGTTGACCGTATAGCTGACACTGAGAGCAGTTTAATTAAAGCTAACACAAATCATTTAAAATATCACGTGACCATAAAGATCAATCTCACGGCCGAGCGTGCTAAATCACTCTACAGTCGATCTTCGAGATTGTTCTAAAAGGACCCCCGACAGTTGAAACCAACTTCAATCGATGTATTTTCGGACGCTGATTCCGAATCACGCTGATTCCGAATCACGCTGATCTCACGGCCGAGCGTGCTAAATCACTCTACAGTCGATCTTTTTCATAAAGCCTATTGTGCTACCAAATCACTGGGCTATAAATCGAGAACATCTCATACTGATTTGAAATGAATCAATCCATCTTAATCTTATCTAACGATAGCTTGACAGTGGCGTAACGCTGCCTGTTGGTGCCCCCCCCCCCCCCCGCCGAAAATTCGCCTCCCTGTTGGCGCCCCCTCCCCTTTTGGCGTCCTTAAGTTTTGCTAGTACCTCAGTTAAATTTTTTCAAATTGCCTCACAAACGACCCCCCCCCCCCCCCCCCCCCACAGCGGGGTCCTTCGTTACGCCACTCACCACTGTCGCTTGATAAGAAAACGTCACGTGACCAATCAAAGTTACCTGATTTCTGTGATGAATCTTCTGTCGCACAGTCTTCTCTTCTTTTTTATGCGTCATCTGATAACACCTGCGCATTTACCCACATTATTATTTGATAACACTTGTTCTGTTGCGCATGTTCGGTTAAGCAGATATTCACATCTCTTTTACCAAACATTACCTCCCAAATCTCCTCCCTAACATACCTCTCCAGCTTTATTAAAGGCTTTAATGTTAAAGGCTTTGACACTAACAGTTCTTGGAACACCTGTTCGGGAACACCTGTCGGGCTACTTTGATACTGCCCAGTTCTTAATGGACTGTGTTGTAAATTTTACTGCTGGAACGTTCGAGAATAGGGATTGACGAGTAAAGCTGTCAGGAAGTTCCATCACAAACTTTCTTAACGGGGAGTGGTTTGCTGGTACAAGCTGTCAGAATGTGCCATATCTCAACTGCGGTTTACCCAAATAATATTAATTAATAAAAGCTGGTCTTTAAACAGCATAACTACGAGATTCTTCTATTTATTATTTTCCCATTTCGAAATAAATTTATCTGGTTGGACATTACATCATCTGAATTCATGTCACAATTTAAGAATTAAGTTCTTCTATAGCAAGTTCTCATAATCATATTATCGTGAGACATTTAAGCAATCAGAGATAATTGAGCTTAAATACTTAAACAGTGGAACTAAGAGTGAAAGTCTTAAATTTACTATTCTGACATTTATTTATCTTCGTGGACATTACATCATCTGATTTTTCATTTCATTTCCCAAACTTTGAGAATTGAGCAAGTTCTTATATTATCACGAGACCTTTAACAATCAGGGACGTATTAGCGTATTAGGGAACAGCTTGGACTTTTGCAGTATGGTTAAGCTGCCGGTAATATGGTAGGATGAAAGGGTGTGGACTTGCAGAAACAAGATCACGGGAGTAATCAGACCACACCGTTGCAAAATGAAATTCTTAACGGTAATTATTATTACTTATTTGTTACTAACGCTCCAAGGGCAAAATATGTCCTCACGGCAAACAAATTTTCATCTGACCAAAACATCAAACAGTCACGACTCAATTCATCAAGAAATTCAGGCTCAAAATTAAAGCTGACTTACTTTTCCAGTTTGGTATGCAGAGCCGCGATGGTGGAGTTGTAGCCCAGTACTTCGTCAGTTTTACTCTTGTTCAACTCAGCCAGATCTTGCTGTGCTTTGTCTATCTGTGGTGCTGGGGTATCATCATTTCCTTAATTTGTCACCAATTTGTCACCAATTTGTCACCAATTTGTCACCAATTTGTCACCAATTTCCTTGATTTTTTACTATGCCCATGAGCTCAACACCAATGTTAATATCAGTTTGAGCTTTAAAATATTGCAATATTATTTATATAACTTTTATTCTTTTGTAAACTGGTCATAAGGACTGCCAGCACTGTCCGGGCAACAACAGCTCTGACAATTTTAGATATATGTAGCTGTCGCACGAAAATTTATCAATTTTAAAATTGCGAAACTTTTAATACTTTTAATACTTGTAATAGTTTATCAGTTATTTAGAATATATATTCGCATTTATCCACACTATATTTACATGTAATAGTTAGTTTGGTTAGATGAAATAGCCAAATCCCCGTAAATAAAACTAGAATTCTCCTAAATGGTCCTGGTATTTAATCAAAAAGTGATCTAAATCGTGTCACGTGATACTAAATCGTGTCACGCGGAGGTTTCACGCCAGATGATAAGCTGATGTACCGGTGCAGGTCGAACCAAGCTTTGAGCTCAACGAATCAAATAACTGAGAAGCTGCCCTTAAAACTGCATAACCAGAGCACCTAACTTGAGGTTAAAGAGATCATGTCAGAAGTAGTATGTTGTCCAAAATGATCCAGCTACTCTTAACCTGCACCCAGTACAGAGGCTGTTGGACTCATTGGAGTTAGGAACCCATAGTTTACCCCCTTTGCCTAAAGTTGGGACTGGTTTTCATAATGATCTAGTATAGAATTCATTTGGGCGCTTTTCAAAATGTTCATTTGGAGTCCATGCCTCAGATTCATCAAGAGAACTTTCTCAACGCAGAGGTTATCAGTGCTGATCTCGAAACTTCCGTCAGCAACCAAATGATAGGCAAAACTATTCATTGCAGGAAATGTAGCAGGCATGGTCCATGTAGATAGTTCTCCAGATCACGCTCCTAACTTCTTCAGTTCTTAGTGACCGCGGAAGTTAGATCCCATGAACTAATACTAATTACTTATTCCCGAGAATCCAGCCAGGAAATTTACGAGGAGAACCCCGTAACCTCGCTCAACATGCTCGACCAGGTCACTGAGCCTCGTAACCCCTGATGAGCTCTCTCAACTGTCAGAATATCGGGCTAAATAAGTCAGTTTCGCACCCGATACTCAAGAGCTATTTAAGAACCTACTTGCTAGCTCCTGCACTTTGATATCCGACTTGGTAACCGAACTACACGTTTAAAATGTACTGCTGATATGTTGATCAGGTAACTGGAACCTAAACCGAGGGTTTCAAAGTTACCAGTTACCAGTTACCAGTTACCAGTTACCAGTTACCAGTTACCAGTTACCAGTTACCAGTTACCAGTTACCAGTTATCAGTTACCAGTTACCAGTTATGAGTTACCAGTTACCTAGAAAAATTATTCTGTCACGTACTTACTACCCCCGTTAATGGTGTTGAGTTAAGGAGTTAGTTTTGATAAATTATGTCATGTTATTTAATTATGTTAATAATTATGTCATTTTATTTAATTACTCCTGCAATGCACAAGAAAGTTAAATCCAGACTGTCGAATGTCAGAAAATTTACTCGACACGGGTTTGATAGTTAATCTATATCTTCCCTGTAAATCCAACTTGTAGAATATTAAATAATTCTGGTTGAGGTCAACCGTTTTAATTTTATAACCAACTATTTGAGGTACACCAAATACCTGTGCAATGAATTTTCATAACTTTAGCTGAGTTTCTAGACAGATTGAATGAAGCCAAATGTTAAGTTCCTAGCATGAAATTAAACTTCCTAAGCTAAAGCACCAGTGATCAGAAGTCATCCCGTAAGAACGCAGTTATTATCCCGTGTGATAAAATTTACCTTAAATAAGTTTAAAAGTTGTTGAGTCATAAGGTTCAAAGTTACAATTTCAAAGACATTTCGACATTGGTATGAACATCGCTCAACTGTGTGTAAAACCTATTATTGGTATTTCATTTAAAATTAACACGCGAAATTTTAATGCGTTGAGTTGATCTCGAAGACGATTGTGAGTTATGATCGCGAGGGGGGTAAAACCTTGCCTTATACATTACAGGACCCTATGAAGTATGAAATTGATTTATCCGCTAGTTTATTGGCCAAGTTTTATTGTTTTATTGACTTCTTGCATACAGCTTGACCGGAGTGATTGAAGATAAAAACTCAGGATATGCTCATCAAATCAAAAGTCTAGATATTTTGCTTATATTTATCTGGTTAAACTTAAAACTTAAAACATCTAAAGCATAAACTTATCCAACATTGAGCGTGCAACTTACGAAATCCTTTACAACAAAAACAAAATTTAATATGTTTCTTTTTCGCTCTCTTGAGCGGGTCAATGATTGTGAGCGTACTAACCGAGTCATCTTTCTGCATAAGTTCTTGTAAAAGGGAGGCGTTGGCTTGCTCAAGTGTATTGTATCTGCTTATCACTCCTTTCATCATATTATCACTCAGTTCCAGATATCCTGAAAAGCAAAGGTTATCTTAATTATTCGACCAAAATTTAAACCTTTCTTGTTTCTATCTTAACTTTGCACGTGATTAAATTCGAAGATTTGTTACGGTTATTGGAAACTATAGTGAGTACAGTACGACACTACGGTGGTAGATGAACAGAGTACTGCACAACTTTCCAAAAAGGTAGACAGTACAGTGGATCACATGATAGTGATACTCGCTTACCAGTCAGTGATACTCACTTACCATGGTAAGTGATACTACTTACCATGATACCTCTTACCATGGTCACTGCGGTGGAACCATAATAAGGTGGTCAAGCAAAATTCTGGAGCAAGACTTTTCTTTAAATTCTGACCAATTCTGACTCATTAAATTCGGACCAATGTAATGCCGAAGATTGGTGTTCAAATCTTTCTCACGTCTAGACCAAGGAAAAATCTAACTAATCGAATAACTTTAAGAACCGATTGTTTCAGTTCAAATTTTTACTGTGCCGCCTACCGTTTACTTTTTAACGGTTTACCATTTAGTTACGCGGTTGGCAAGGGTAAGGTGCAATAAATCCACCAATGGTACGATCCTGCCTTTGATACCTTTGATCTGCTTCTTCGAAACTCGATAGGCCATCAGAGTTGCTGACCATCCCAGAGAGCAGATGCCTCTCGATCGTAACGTCAGTCCAGTATAGAATTGGAGTTAGGTGGTTAATTGGAGCCCCGGATTGGCGGTCTTACATCCCTTTAGTTTCAAAGATACATATTTTAGACCGTTTTGATAGTAGTTTTGTGGGTTCTTTTCGATAGTGTAAACGCGATAGCTAGCGCCATCTAGCGCTAATTAGCGCATAAAAAAGAAATATTAAGAATATTAAGTTTATGAGTCGAGACTCGAGACGGTGTCTGGTTCCACTGCAGTGATCATGGTAAGTGAGTATCACTATCATGTGATCCACTGTACTGTCCACCTTTTTGGAAAGTTGTGCGGTACTCTGTTGTATCTACCACCGTAGTGAAACCATTTCTCTTAAACTTTATCGGTTGTTGTACAATAATCATCATAAATTATTGTGGTAAAAATTAATACAAGGTTTACCATGGATACTACATTGTCTGGTATTGCAGCCACCGCATGTTAATTCATGAACATGTTACGTGGTTGGCAAGGGTAAGATGCAATAAATCCACCAATGGTGGACGATTTATGAATTCCATAATTTATTTCTTCCAATAGTTAATAGTACGATCCCCTTTAATCTTACATCAAAGATCAATATTTTAGACCGTTTTGATAGTAGTTTTATGAACACGTTGCAACGAAATGGCGACGGAGTCGTTTATAAATAATCATATAGTTCCCTTGAAAATTTTCGGAAAATGTCCATTGACCGAGATGTTCCTCTAACTCACAATCCCAGCCTTTGTATTGGACAAAGTTATATAACTCTGTCGATCAGCTTGAGACTTAAAGATTGGCACAGACCTATATTATCCTCGCTAACCATGCTTGTAATAATTCCTGTTCCCGTTTTACAAACATTTAACTGTTGAAGAAGCCAAAGACCTGTTTTCTAGGACTAGAATTGAATTTGGTTTTGTATTGATATTGATATACAAATATTTACGATGAGAATGATTTATATATTTATTAAATAGGTTATTTAAAGTGGTTTTATGAGGAATTAGAACAAATTGCACGAGAAATTAAACATTAAATTAAAATAGGTTGTTTAAAGTGGTTTTATGAGATTAGAATAAATTGCGTGAGAAAATAATCTACCTTACGAGACATATTTAAATGGTGTGAAAGTCGGTGGTTTTAGGTAACCGGAATTATGTCGAACATAAATATGTCTCGTAAGGTAGGTTCACGACAAATCCGATCTAAACCTTTGGCAAGTTGAACAGTCAGCAGCCTTACTCTTTAAATGGGACTCTGTCAAATTTTGGAATGGTGATTGGACAGAATTCTGGAATTTCGAATCTGTCCATGGTCAAAGATTGACAAGCTGGTTAATGAACCTAATTTGATTTCAAATTCGATTACTATACAGTCTAGTCTTACTTAACTCCGTGGTTCATTACAACGAATCCCGTACAAAATTAAGTTGTTCCTCTTTGACACTACCTTCACTCGAATCCTATTGGACTTAGAGCACATTTCCTTAAACGTCAGTTTCACTCACAATCTGGGGGGGGGGGGCAACCATATTAAAGTATATTAAAATGTAGGATTTTTCCCGATTTTGACCCGGGGATATACTTTAATATACTTTAATATACTTTAATATACTTTAATATATCCCTATCTCCTTGGAGGCCTACATCAAAAATTGTTGCCCAAAATAAGCTTGAAATGCAATCCTTAATCGATTCCAAAAAGTTCTTGAAAAAATATTGAAAACTGATGGAGTTATTTCAATTTTAATGAAGTTATTTTGGCTAGTATTCTGAACCGAGATATTATGTGCAATTTTCCCAATTTTGTTCATGGAGGTCTTTTTACTTAGTATCCACTATATCCAACAAACACTGAGTTATATCTTTCACATAGAGTTAGTCTCATTAAAAAATATTGAAATTTTATCGAATTTGGGCAAAAGCGAATTTGGACAAAAGCGTATGCCCAAATATGGGCATATTTTTTAAAGCTCATAGCTCAGCCAATTTTTGACCAATCTGGATGGAAATTCATGTACTATTCCTAAAACAGGCTTATCTTGCGAATCTGAGTGAAAAATATAGTTCATCATGTAAATCTTAACGAAGAATATAAATCTTCTAATTGTAGGTATATTAAAGTATATTAAAATGTAGGATTTTTTCCGATTTTGACCCGGGGATATACTTTAATATACTTTAATATGGTTGGCCCCCCCCCCCCCCCCCCCAATCTAGTAAGGGCGCACCCGATCGCAACGCAGTGTTACTTCATTGATTGAAATTGAAAGTGATGTTTACCAGTTTACTTGAAGTTGCACCATAGGTCGACCCAGACTGCTCCATGACTTGTGAGCTGCGCCCCTCGCTTAGCAGGGAAATTTCTAGGAATCACATAGAAAGATATATTGAAAAGTGTAATCACGATATTGGGCTTTCTTTTGGAGAGATTCATCAGTAGTCTCGTCCGTCGAGATCATGCTTCATTTGTTTAACAATAGGATACTAGAAATATTCTTTAACAGTTTAAACTTACATTTGAATTGGCGATATGTTATACAAAATCTGAGCATGCTCAAAGAAATAGCGATGAAATATTAAACGTTCAAATAGTGGTATTCAACTTGGGTAATTACAAAATACAAGATTGATTCTACGCCCCTTCATATTTAAAAATACTCAAAACTTCCAACCTAGAGGAGGAAGGTTTAGAAATGCAAAGATCACGTGACAATTTTTGTCCGAGATATCAAACATGCAGATTCTGATTGGGTAACCTAATCAAAGTGAGCAGGTAATAAGTTGCACTGTTGCAGGGCTGGTCATCTGAATGTACTCGAATTTGATAGGATTGAAAATAAAAAATATTCGGTCTCAAACTCAAAGGGATTTGATTAAAAGTTTGATTAACAGCAAGCAACTGGCAAAGAATGGCCGTTATTCTGTATCCCCACTAGGCACTAATCATCCCGTACAGCCAAATCACTTGATTCAATAAAATGCGGCCTCATGCAATTTCAAGTAGGCTGAAATTTAAAGGAATCTATCCATCATCCAGCCTAATGGTTGTTGCGATTATTTCAGAGAATTTTCTCAGCCTAACCATTCTTTGTCGCCATTTTATTTTATTTAAGGTTCCATGTTGTATATTTCTCTAATATTTGATGAAAGTTTCCAATCAAATCGTCTTTCGTTTGTTACGAGTCGCATGAAAATTGTTTACTTGCACTTACTCATAATATTTATATGATAGAGTAAATATTGCTTATATTTTTAGATTTTCCCCATTCGATGTGGCTAAAGTATCTACTGTCTGTGGATGTGTTAGTGAATGTGTTAGAATTTATACACCCGCAAGCTTTTAAGCCCCTAAGTCACCACATTTTACACTCAAAGTCACTAGAGCTCCTACTCTCCTACTCTCCAATCTCCGTACATATTTTCCATAAATAATTCTAATACTTGTGATAGGAAGGCTGAACCTATCGTATGTGATATGTCCGGTAGTTTCATTGCGTTCTAATAAATGAACTTACTCCAAGTCAAGCTACATAAGGTGACATTTTGAAACATTCTCCTGTCACATACAGTTAAAAGTAATGACGGGAAATTTCATCCGTTCCTCAACTTTTTTCTTGACAGAGTAAACTGGAAAGCTATTAAAACCAAATTAGTCTTCTACCTTGTCAACATACTGTCCTATCAAGATACTGTCTGGGCGGTATAACTAGGCTACTATTTAATTTACTGGGGTGCTCAGCCTGTCATTCCGCCAAATCTCTATGTTCATGAACATTACAGCCTGGGGTCCCCAGGTAACTATTTAATCAGATATAACGATGTTCCAACCTGTGCGTGCCAATCACACACTGCTCAAATATCGGCTGACAGGACAGTCGAGACGAGGGGGCATGCTCCGGTGCTCCCTCTCTCTCTCTCTCTCTCTCTCTCTCTCTCTCTCTCTCTCTCTCTCTCTCTCTCTCTCTCTCTCTCTCTCTCTCTCTCTCTCTCTCTCTCTCTCTCTCTCTCTCTCTCTCTCTCTCTCTCTCTCTCTCTCTCTCTCTCTCTCTCTCTCTCTCTCTCTCTCTCTCTCTCTCTCTCTCTCTCTCTCTCTCTCTCTCTCTCTCTCTCTCTCTCTCTCTCTCTCTCTCTCTCTCTCTCTCTCTCTCTCTCTCTCTCTCTCTCTCTCTCTCTCTCTCTCTCTCTCTCTCTCTCTCTCTCTCTCTCTCTCTCTCTCTCTCTCTCTCTCTCTCTCTCTCTCTCTCTCTCTCTCTCTCTCTCTCTCTCTCTCTCTCTCTCTCTCTCTCTCTCTCTCTCTCTCTCTCTCTCTCTCTCTCTCTCTCTCTCTCTCTCTCTCTCTCTCTCTCTCTCTCTCTCTTCTCTCTCTCTCTCTCTCTCTCTCTCTCTCTCTCTCTCTCTCTCTCTCTCTCTCTCTCTCTCTCTCTCTCTCTCTCTCTCTCTCTCTCTCTCTCTCTCTCTCTCTCTCTCTCTCTCTCTCTCTCTCTCTCTCTCTCTCTCTCTCTCTCTCTCTGAGAATATAACCAACAAAAAGTAGATATCACTAGTTGGCGACGTCTCTCAACTTGCATTGAAGGGACGACCTGGTCACTTCGTGACTTCGTGGGAGATGCGTCACGAGATATTTCGGACTCACGAGATATCGCAGACTCATAAGTTCATAATTTTATCAAAAAACTCCAAATAAGGATACTTTTAGATCCATTGAAGATGGACTCTTGAAACTATCGTTTACCGGGGCTGAAAACGTTGTTTTGACTAACGACGGCGATTAATCAATCAGCTAACATTTAAACCAATCTAGTGCGCGCGTCGCGGTCACGTGTCCAATCAAATATGTCCACGTCAAATCTAAAAGCCATTATTTTTCAAGTCAGCCGTTTCAGGATTGACATGGTTTCACCATTGCATAATCCAAATACAATTCGCATAACTGATAACTGTATCGCCGATCAAAATTAGGTGACCAGAATTTGTATTTTAAATCTTTTCAAACAGATTTTATTCTAAATCTGTTTGGAAATATTAAAGATAAAAAGGTGACCAGCATGAGAAGTTTATATGACGTGATATCCCTAAAAACCCCTCAATTTGGAAGCATACAGATATTGAGCAATTTTATGGAACTTGTCCAATTTTTTGACATATCAACCATATAAACATAATCAAAACTGAGTAAAATCAGTTTATCTTTGCTTCCCAATAAATCAGGGGAAGTTGGATGGAAAAACTGTCAAGTTATATAGCGAGCGGCAGGTTGTTCAGAAATCACATTAAAATTGTGCATCATTTTACAGAACCATCTATTATGGTTCTGGCCAAGTCCTGTCAGCCGATATTTGAGCAGTGTGTGATTGGCACGCACAGGTTGGAACATCGTTATATCTGATTAAATAGTTACCTGGGGACCCCAGGCTGTAATGTTCATGAACATAGAGATTTGGCGGAATGACAGGCTGAGCACCCCAGTAAATTAAATAGTAGGGGGGGACTCCATTAGTCACAGCAACGGAAGCAGTCAGTCAGTCTTCAGGGCTTGAGATATGATATGAGCACTGAACAATCTGTAGGGGAGGGGGGGAGGGGGGGAGGGACTCCATTAGTCCATAAGACCAAGAGTTGAGGAATAAATGGCAAAATGGGCATCATTTTCAGGAAAAAATCGAAAAATCAAAAAATATATTTCTGATACCATACTTTGTTGCGCTGAAATAGCTATTCTTGTTAATTAGAGGACGTCGAAAACGTTGGTGATGTTTATTTTCAGCACAACACAAGTTTTAAGCTGTTTTTAAGGCTTAAAAACCTTGGTAATGATACTTTTTAAAGGCTTCCTGTTCACTCTGTCGACATCTGGAGCCATAATTTGTTGCAAAATAACCTCCCCACTCCCTCAAACTAAGCTGTGACAGCAACTCACGCAGTAAAACGCATAATCATATTCCAACCCATCATCAATACCGCATACACCTTCATATCAGAAGTTATATATTCAGGATTTAAGAATTTTGTCTTCACGCGTGATAGTGGCAATGGACCATCTAACCAACATGCCGGCTGTGATATTTAGTTATCATACCCGCGCTAACTGTAAGTCATTTCATTGGGCGCCTGTTCGGCAACGTGTTGCCTTTGTAACCACCACCTTTCATATTATTATTAAACCATTTTAAGTCATATTTTTTAATAGCTATGTAACTCGAAGCAATTTTTCTAATCATATTAGTGGTGTCATGAGATTCTCAACCTTCTCTAATCTTGTCGAGACATTATCCCATCGCAAATAACACTAGTTAAGATTGTTTCTGATTATAAAAGCTTCATCAGAGGGAAGGAGTGTCTTGCCGCGAGATATTTGGGGGGGGGGGCCCCCAAATATCTCGGGGGGGGGGGGGGGGGGGCATCAACCTCATAAATATACATAAATACCTATACCTATTTTGAAATCGGAGGGAATAATAGGTATTTATAGGTATTTTAACAAAGTTCGTCTAAAAGATTCAAAGCTAAAAGATTCTGAGCAACATTGATCTTTTGAAATTTTAGGTGAAAATTTCAGGATAAGATTTTTACTGAGACAATTTTTTTAAATGCGCGTGAATACCTGATCATGAATACCTGCACACGTCCAGGGGTGGTAAAAATTGCCAACAAATTGATTATGTAATAATATTATGTGAAGTGTGAACGACCCCTAAGAAAAAATGTTTCCCATGGAATTGATAAAACAGTAAAGAATGCATATTTTAAATCTTAGAAAGGCAGTTAGAATAAAATCCGAACCTTCAGGGAGAATATCCACCACTTGCTGGATGTATCTCTCGAACTTTCTATTGTCCTCTATCGTGTTTATCAGTTTCAGTTGCCTGCGAAGGTGTTACATTGATCAACAACGTTACAAAAAAGGTATTTTATTTCTATATCTCGACTCTTGGTAACTTAATGCTGAATATAGAGGGTACAGGATCAGAAATTATCACCCGATAATTAAGATAATCAGGAGACTAGATAGGGTAAAATGTTACCACGTGTTCTTGATTAATTTTAAGAATCTTACCCAGGGATCAACTATTAACCCCCCAGTTCCATAGCGGATATTATGCCAAATTATTAGACGGAGGTCCATTTCTACGGTTATCGTCGCTCAATAATCGGTTTGGTATCCACGTTACCTCCCAGTTCCATAGCCGGATATTATGCCAAATTATTAGACGGAGATCGTCTACTGATATTTCTCCGTATATTTCTCCGGTTTGCAGTTCCATAACCTTATCCGGAGACCATCAACGGTAAGTTTGTTGATTCTCACAGATGGAGCAAAGTGCAAAGAAACTGCCACAAACTGCTACAATCTCCGAGAAATTCCCGGAGAGCTTCATCTCCGTCTAATACAGTAGACGGAGCCGGAGAATCATCTCCGGAGATGATCTACGGGAAATGGACCTCCGTCTAATAATTTGGCATAATATCCGGCTATGGAACTGGGGGGTTACATACATTGATCTTCCGATTTTAAAGCTGACTAAAGAAACCAGGGAATTAATTTCACTTCCCTAAAATTAAATCGTTGATTGTATTGCTATATCTTTTTTTTAAACATTCCAGTACATTGTGCAGAAAGTTGGAGATTTAAATTTTGAAAGTTTGTAGGGATCGAGATCTGATATCGATCGTAAATACTAAAATTCTAAAAATACTCTAGCACAATTGTAACTGCAATTTTACAGAACTCTAAATGCTTAATGAACACACTCGTAGGTACCACCTGTATTCACCAATAGTATTGAGTTTAGTCATTTTCCAATACGAGATTGGGGACGGGTTCTATAAACAAACAAACAACAAACAAGAATCTTCCAGAAGTACTATTACTACCCTTTTACAAGCTTACTTACGCCGTTACATGCGTCGCCAGCTTAGTACCCAGCTAATAAATTAACTCTTGATATTATTATCTTTTGTCGGAAGGTGTTGTTATTTTTAAGATTATGCCTTAGGGTTTGCGTCATTGGTTCAAAATATTTTATCGAGATAATTGGAAATTTTCTAGGAATTATCGAGATATTATTGGTTATCAGTCGATAATTTGGTCATCAAATTTGAGCTCATAATACCACAATTCTAAGTATTCGGATTTCGGTACACAAATCGGTACTCGTAAAGGGTCGTTCACATATTCCGTAATCAGCCGAGGGGAGGGGTTTCAAATGATCTTGGTAGTTGATTACGTAATCAAAATTTTCATTTTTACCCTCTAGAATGATACCAATTCGATCATTTTTATATTAAAATTCCACTCAATTTCACTATGATAATGATATAATTTAGGAACCGATCGGATATCCAGCTGAATTCGGGTCTGGCCGGATATCTGTCTTCAATAAATGTAACTCTGAACTCACAAAATTTGAAGATGGGGAAGGGGGATCGGGCCTTGATTACGTAATATTGCTGTCAGGAGGCTAGGGGGGGGGGGTGGGGGGATAAATCTTGATAACGGTTGATAACAGAGGGGGGCGGGCCGCGGGGGTTAAAATTTGCCAAGAAATAGATTACGTAATATGTGAACGACCCCTAAGTCATGTTTGTTTAATTTTATCGGTTATACCAAATTATCGAGATTAAACAATTTTAACCCAATTAATCGCCGATAATCTTGTCGAGACATTATCACATTGCAAATAACACTAGTTAAGATTGTTTCTGATTATAAAAGATTTATCGGAGGGAAGGAGTGTCTAGCCGCGGGAAATTGGGGGGGGGGGGCGTCAACCTCATAAATATACATAAATACCTATACCTATTTTGAAATCAGAGGAAATAATAGGTATTTTACCAAAGATCGTCAAGGGCAGCTAAAAGTTACTTTTTTGGAAGTTTCTGAATATTGCGAGCAACATTGATTTTTGAAATTTTAGGTGAAAATTTCATGACAAAATTTTTACTTAAATACATAAATACCTATACCAATTTTGAAATCGGAGGGAATTTTAGGTATTTATGAGGTTGATGTCTCCTATATTTATATCGAGAGTTGTCATTCGTTGTCTAATCGAGGACTTCGAGGGATAAACTGTATGGTTATTGTAAAAATTTCAGATTGCTTTTCCTTGGAGAGTGATACAATTTCTAGATTTCAAGATTTCGGTATTTCAAGACAGCGGACAGATTATAATGGACTACATATCACAGAATCAATCGTTAAATGTCGGTTAGTTTCCTTACAGTTTAATAGAATGGGCAGCGGATAATGTCCAGAAGAGGGAGCATCAGGAGAGCATAAGAAATTGTGAGGACAACATCCGGATTCCGGACATGATTGCGATTCAATAACAGAAATTGTGAGACCCAATTCACAATTAATATATAACCAACCTCCGTACACCCGATGTATAAGCCATGGGCCTTGTGAGCAGGAGAATCTTCTGCTCAGTTATCCACCTTTTATCTTGTAAATGAGCTTAGTGCCTTTTTGGATGGTATGCTCTTGGCAGTACATCCAAAAGAATATTCCGAGGTCATGTCTGCAAAGTGTTCCTACTGTACTTTTAAAAGATGCATAGAGTTTCAAAATGATTAAAAAATATCAACTGTCGTATAAATGATCAACTCTGACAACTTTTATAAATGCATAATCATGGGCACCATTTCTTCAGCCGATTTCTCCATCATGTCTACTGCACGATTTGGATGAGTGTACGTTCCCAGTTCCCAAACCTACTCATCAGTACTGAGTTTTCAGAGTACTGTTGTTTTAGCAAGACTTATTAATCAACGTCAGAATCAGATGATTTGATGTGGTCACTTTCAAAGTTCGTTAATAATGGCTCACCAAACAATCACACGAGCGAGCAGGGCGGTTCTTTTCATTAATCGTTAGCAACACAATTTCTTGATTGTCGAATATTAGGCTAAAGTTTTGCGAACTAACGGTGATTTAGCTATGTAGGCGAGGGATGTCGTATTCTGTGGTTTGTTCTCTTGACACTGGTTATTAAGATTAAAAACTGTATATTGACGTAGCAATATCGTTTTACCACCAACTCAGTCGATCGACTCGTTCATATTTTCAATCTCAATCGGCAGCATGTTTCCATTACGTAGTGGGCTAGTGGCTCAGATATTGTTATAGATTATATTTATGGCCTAAAAACCTTATAAGGCATGCTTCCAACGCATAATTTATCTTTACGGGAAGTCGCCACAAAAATTTAAAGTAGAAAAATGGAACTTCATTCCCATGTGATTGTCTGGAGGAAAATGTTCCACGAAGCATTTATATTATTAATCAAACCGCGCGCGTTTATCACATGACCTAACATTACGACGCGAATTGATCAAAAATGTCACGTGACCTATAACTTAACGCAAGAACTATAGATCTGTTTGGCAGGTACCAGAATTGCTGGCTCTGACAAATTTCCAGCACACTGCTCATTAATGAGTTTCTTGGACCAGTTCCAGAACCTAACCGAATTCGTTATCAAATTCACCTGTTTTGCTTGCCCAGATGAACTTGACCCCCCTTCCTCATTCAACGGTCGGATTGAGGAACTACTTAAAAATATAATACCACCTTCAACCGTGAAAGTACCTTAGTTTTATTTATTTAATAATACCAACTTCAACCGTGAAATTACCTTAGTTTTATTTATTTAATAATACTAACTTCAACCGTGAAATTACCTGAGTTTTATTTATTTAGTAATACCAACTTCAACCGTGAAATTACCTTAGTTTTATTTATTAATTAATGCCAACTTCAACCGTGAAATTACCTTAGTTTTATTTATTTAGTAATATCAAATATACGTCTTTTACTTCTCGGTAAATTTTAAAACGAATTTTTCCTAGCAGTATCCCGGATGAGTTTATATCACACAAAACGCCTCAGCACTTAATGAGGTTATAACCTCCTCCCCCCTCCCCCCCCCCCCACCCTTACGGATTGTTATCTACTCATCTCGCATGCTGACGTTATTATATTATATTAAATCCTGATCTCTGGTGGGGTCCGGGACTCAAACCCTAACCCTATGCCTAACCCCCTCTGGTGATTGCTTTAAAGAATAGTCGATTAAATTTGGATTTCTGTGTCGCGGATTAATTCATCTTACTCAATAAGTTAGTATATAGATGAATTGGGTTAAGACGTGATTTTAATTACCACTGCAAATTTAATTAATTTTCCTGTAACCACTGGTTACTATATCGCTACCACTGGTTACCAGCGTTGCCGTAACTAGATGGAAGGACAAATTGGAAATAAATATAGATAAGCAGTTATTATAGCGAATTATTAAAATTTTGTGCAATACGTGATGTCCCTTATTATATAGTCTTATTAGTCACAAGGCCTTGAGTAGTTAGGTCGACTGTCTGGAGATTTATAAGCTCAGTAATTGCTGCTCCGCAGTGGGGATGTCCAGACATCTTATTCTTATTATTAAACGCAAGCTGCTCATTTTTATAGCATCAATACATATAGTCAGTGCCCAACCGTTCTAAGAGGCCATCTCGTTGCTTTTCGTGATTTCTCGAAGGTTAACACCTCTCTAGATGATGCTCAAAACATTTTGCCTTTATTGCGGTTTGTACTAAATGCAACTAAGGGCGTTTTTGGTCACACCTTTTTCTAAGGATTTGTGGTTACTCGAATTTTTGTATTTCGGTCCAGGAAGGTTGTAGAGAGACTATTCCCAAACACCAAAATGTACCTGATAGCCACATTTATATACAACTTACGAAGCAAAATTATATTCTAATTACAACACTACAAATCTATTACATTTATTGAGCGGACATATCCTGTCCAAACCCAGGATGCACTACAAGAATAATTTCTTTTAACTTGTATGAATGAAAAGCATTAATATACCTTAAAATTTTCATTTTCCGAAAGACGTATTTTTGCCGAGTGAACGATGAAAAAACTCACAAATTAAATGGGTTATTGGACTGGTAAGTGGTAACTAGGAAAGTCCTAAAGACTCATAGATATTGGACATGAGCAACATACAATTTGTTCTAAGATGACACTACAAATTTGGAGAATGATCTACTTTATTGAGCATCTCTTTAAATGGGCCACACCCACATATCTTACGAAAGGACAATTTGATTAGATTTAAAACTTACCGTCTCTGGAGTTTCTCATATTTCTCCTGTAACACAGCCAATTCTTGCTCTCTCACTTCCTGTAAAATAAAAAATATTATCGAGTTCTCCCCCAGAAACGTTTATACTATTTAATTTGTGTTTTATTCAAGTCCATGTGAGGGAATTCACTTATCGAACTTAAACAGTTCAACTGGAACTGTCGGAAATCTTTAAAGAGCTGAAATAAGTGGTTCAGGACTTACACCGATACTGAGATTTGATTGGTCGATGCAGATTGGTTAAAAATCGTTGACGTTTGGCTCAAAAATGGTAATGCAACTATGCAATGTTCAAGTATAAAGTTAAACTGTATGGCTCAGTATAAATTAGATTTAATGAAATTTTCGTCATTGATTGGTAAAATAAATACTTTAAACAGAAACATGACCTGGGATTCCAGTGCAAGGGAACGGTCGGTAACTCATTAGTTCTCGAGGATCATTTTGCAAAGTTCAGTTTATAAGCAAGTTATTGATTAATTTGTTATTTCTTATGTGTACTGTGTTCTTATAAGTGCTACGCAAGGTTGCTTAAAATCGCCTAAAAATCGTACTAATATTTCAAACTTGAAACAAATTTAGAGTTAACACAGTAGTATTTATCGCTTTTTACATGGACGTACTAATAGACATTAGATTCGACTCAACCAATTTAATGCCCATCAAATCTAAGGACTGCTAAAGTAAAGTATTAATTTAACTCTGACGCTTCTTGCGTGAAGATTTAAGGACAGCAAATCACTTGACATACTTAAATCATGAGCGTCAGTGTCTAAATTACTATATTAGGTCTATTAAAATAAGGACCAATAAGATATTGAGGATGCGCGCTATGTTTTGAGGAAATTATTATTTTTGTGCTAAAAATAATGATTATGCAGTATACAGATACTCATAGTCCGCAGAATTGAGATTAAAGTGAGTGCTTTTGCGATTAGTATTGCGGTACCAAATAATAATATGTCGCATATTATAATCCACCCACAGCACTACCCACAAGTCACCCCAACATTTATGAGGTTTACCTGTTGCTTTCTCTCATTTTGAACTTCACCAGTGCACGTTGCCGCTTCACTTCGTTCTCCCTTACAAATCTATCAAACTTTTCCACTCGCTCTTTGATCTGAGGTTATTCCTTGAGTTATTTTATTGGTATCTTGTGCACAGTTAAAAAATTAGCGATAATTTGAAAGAGGAATTCGGGGGAATACATTATGAGCCATGGTGACCCGTTCACATTTGCTGTTCAAATTGCTACAGATAAAGCAAGCAAGCGATAAGAATTCAGCCCAATAGTTAAGCTAAACGTTTTCTACAAGACAAGTGGGTCTAACGAGTATTTACTTTGGTTACCCACTAGTAAATACTAACGAGTATTTACTTTGGTTCTGCTTGTCAATATCATTAACACATTTAGTCAAACATGTTTCATCAGTACACAAGTGTTGATGTTTCGTTTTATTGATGGAGCTTAGTCATTGTGAGCAATGACTTTGAACCATTTGCGCAACTTCCGGTGCCTCTATCTTACTATATATAAAGCGAGACGATATATATATATATCTGTGCCATTTTACTGACACCACAGCATCAACTTTAACGCGACTTTCCGCAAAAACCGTAAAAGATATACAACTGAAACTTTTTTGACTGGGTCAAATGCTTTTATGCTTTTCAAATCAGTATGAAAAAATGAAAATGTATTACAACACCGTTGCTATGCAACCATTTGGTTTTTACCTAACTTCCTATTTCTCATATGATTTGCACGTGGGCGATCGTACAGACAGACAGACAAAGAGAATCTAGTGAGCTGATAAGAATAATATAATATAAATAGATTTATATATTTATATATAAATATATTTATAATATAAATACATAAATATATTTATAATATAAATATATTTATATATTTATGTTATATAGACACTTATAAGTGTCTATCACAGTTTAGCTAGTTTTAGTTCAGCTGACCTATGTCGCGGATTTAGTAATATTTTAAAGTACCACTTACTAAGTCAACTCCAGTACTGGCTCCTATTAAATATCCGCGGGTCGCCACCTTGCAGCTTGCGCAACTCCAGTACTGGCTCCTATTAAATATCCTCGGGTCGCCACCTTGCGCTTTATGTGCAAATAGAATGATACTGTTTTGGTCCGTATCGTAGTCACAATTCTGTCTAGACAACAGCTAAATAGTCAGATGATTGCGCCCATCGTCTACAAGTTTATCTAAATAGTTTAACATGTTTTAAATTTAGAAATATAGCCATTGGTTACTGTAGACCACAACAATGAAGCCGCCCAATAAACGCCAAGCTTTTACAGTGTTATCGCAGCTTTCATTTAATTTTAAAATATGAGTTTTTCTGACGATATGTTGAACAAGCAATTTGCACCATGGTGATGGTAAATGGTTTATAGGGTTAGGTCTCCTGACGTCTTTATCCTATTATAATAAGTAAGTCAGTAAAATCGTCCACAACGTTCAGCTTGCTACTAGCACTATAAATTTGTCTATCATGCTCGGAGTTTAGTAGTTGTTAAATTATTCTTATATTGCTGTTTCAAAATTGGATATGTACGGTTTTTTCCAAGGCGGAATGACAGGCTGAGCGCCGCCTAGAAAAATTGAAGGCGCTAGGTGGATTAAATTTGGAAAAAATCAAGAAATTTTAGTGCCGCTTTAAAAAAAATGCTTTCTATCAACTAAAGCATCACAGGAAACAGAGTAACCTGTTCGCCCATAACAGTTCAGACTATAAGAAGAGCGACCCCACCTAAATAATGACAATGAGAAATACATCCTCCTCATTTGTTTCAGAGGACTAACTTTCCTTCGTCATATTACTACTTGTAATAAATAATGCACTACTTTTCAATTGAATATGGTTAAAATGCTGATAATGATAAAGAATTGTATACAGAGGAATTTGCTGCATAATATACTGAGATCAAACTACCAATTTACAGGCTGTCGTATTATATAATACTAGAAAGCCCTTTGTCACAAGATTTGCGAGCGACATTTTGCTCAGTTTTGTGGTAATTACGTTGTGTTCAGTGCGAGCTACATTTTAATCGGCTGTATCTTCGGTTGTGACGGATATTTGTTGATAAAAACGGACTACCAAAGAATACTATTCTTCCTCCCTATGACCACGGGCTTTCTAGTTATATAATATAGTAAAAAATCCAAAGCCGCGTTTTCTGCAATTTATATTGCCAGATCACCGGCAAAATTATTATTTTTTAAATCTCAGTAGTCACGGTAACAACACATCCCCGTCCTACTCACAACAAGAGGAATATTTCCATAAAATATGCAGCTTCTTAATGGATGTACTTTCAACAAAATTCGCCTCATTATACTTCAAAGATAGGACCCAATTTCTTTTGATAGCAACGTTGAATTATTGAATATTAAAGCGTGGGTGTATTCGAGCACAACGGGGTTCATTAAATGGCGAATGATGATATGAAATCAGCTGTAGTAATCCTTACAATGACTTGTTGCGGTATTTGGAGGAGGGAAGATGAATTGGAATATTGCTAAACCACCTGTATTCGTTACGTTATTTGGCTAGAGTGCGGCGCGCGCGCAGTTCTAATGGTTCACGACATCATGCTTTTTTTTACATTATGTCGTAAGTCTATTTCAGACAGAAGAAGAATCAGAGATTGTGGAAACATTTGTGACAGATTTGGAAACATGTTTTTTTTTGGCTGTATATGTCCGTGAACTGAGTTGGATTTGCCCTGGTATGATACAGTGGCATGAGTACTAACATTTTAAGCCTCCTGTGAAATATTTGTAGCCGCATATATGCCTGGACTCATGTTAATTGTTAGTGCACATGTCCCTCTACCATACCAGATCGTTTCCAAATCAGTCCAGGTCAGTTACTACGGCTACAAGGGCTTGTTTCCAAATTGGTCACAAATGTTTCCACAATCTCAACTACTCTGAAACCAAAATGGAAACAACGCCCCAGAGCCCTTTCTGGACATGCTAGACCCGCCAAACTTCCTAGGGACACTTTTAGTATCAATACCAATCGATCCCAATCGGTTTCAGCTCAGTACAGGGCTTTCTAAGGCAATGTCCATTTGTTGTTCATTTCATTCATTCCATGAATCAGGGTAATATTTCGCACTTATGCCTGGACTAATGTTAGTACACATGTCCCTCTACCATACCAGATCGATTCCAAGTCAGTTCAGGGGGGGGGGGGGGTGGCGTTAACAGGCAACGTTACTGCGTGGTTGGTGGCGAGACAATCAGTGAGGGCGACGTTTTTATCAAATCTCGACTACTTAAGTGTTTTTGTTCCAATATTTGCAAAGTGACAAGTGGGTGCAAAAAATTACAATGGTTGTAATTTGGTTAAAATTTTGTAAAATAATTTATAGATTATTCCGCGATTGAGCCGGAGGTTGATTACGGTTGATTAAAAAGAATATATTGTTAAATGATTAAAAACGTAAGATATGAACGAAAGGTGGATAAATTTTGAATCATTAGTTTACACTTAACCACGCATCTCATACAAATTAATGAGATAAATCGAGATTGTCTGAACTTCAAATGTTGCCTTTTCATTGGTTAACTCAGCGAGCGTTTAGGAGATGATCTTCATATCTTAATAAATCTGAGTTAAGTGGCCACATATGACAGCTTGCTAAGTTATCTTTACTTTTTTGAGCATATTGCCATTGGTGACATCCTCATTTCTCTGGACCAGGCAGGTGTTATATTGGATAAATGATCGATTTTACAAAGTCATAAGCTTCCTTAATTTCATATATTTCCATTGATGATATTGTAATATTTGCAGTTACCGTAACTAACCATCCTTCAAGTCGTTATTAATTCTCTTTAATACAGCCCGTATTACTTACTTTAGGTATTATACGATATTTTATTTCAATTCGATTAGTTTACAAGCCTTATAATCGGAATAGTTCTGAAATACCAAAATTTGATTGGACATAAGATTCAAGATTGTCTTTGCAACTGATTTTCGTTGGTTCGGTTACTGGGATTTTAAAGTCAGTTTAATACTAGCATTAACGCAATAACGCATTAACCATCGTGCATCAGTTAAGTGGTAGATGTTGGACGAGGGTCCTCCCTTTGATCCTTCCCAAAGTCACTTTCTCCAGAACTCAGCGTTCAATCACGGGGAAATGATCAAAGAGTGATGATCCGACGACCGACACCATATTACAATCTTTCCTTGCGTTACAAAGTTACAACGTAGTTATACAATTTGTGCACACATAAAGGGTTAACAACCATTAATTTAATTGATCGCAGCTTGGTACCATTCTAATATCTGCTCGCACACGTTTTAGTATTGGAAATAAGCCGAGTTTTTAATTTCTCAGCAGTATTAAGTCGATCGATGGCTAGTTGTAACTGGAATATTTTATAAAGAATTTTCAGAATTGGTGTTATATTTTCACGTGTAATACTTGAACTGGTCATAAAATTATGAGATTTTATTTTAATGAAAGCTAACGTAGATGGCTTTATTATTAAATTTTAATTTACTTGTGCGTCATTTTTAGGGGTGCCAACTAAGATGACCTTAAAATTATAATTTGTTAAGTTACTAGTTTAGTAACTACTAGTTACTAGTAGTTGTTTAGTTACTAGTGAGTTTTAGTGTTTAGGGGAGCCATACTTACATCAATAATCCGTCCCTTAACGCTCTGGATTGTCGATATGGGCGTGGCATAATTATTTCTTCATTTCATTATCAGAAAATCCGACACACAACAACAATCTAGCCAACTTTCTCTCGCTTATCCATCTGGAGAATGCCCTTACTCAGTAAGCAGCGTTAACCAGCAACAGCTAAATCAGCGATAAGTACCAGTGTTTTATCTGTGGATAGCTCGAGATATTATCCCGACTGTCACTGAGCTTCTAACCGGTCTCAGCACGGTGAAGAGCGTTGTTGGGCCCTAACAATCCTTCTAACTGAGCAAAGGATTGTTAGGCCCTAACAATCCTTCTAACTGAGCAAAGGATTGTTAGGCCCTAACAATCCTTCTAACTGAGCAAAGGATTGATTTTTGTGGAGATTGGAGATGTTATGCGAGGCACTTTATTTTGACCCTTAATGGTTACTGGTCCGTCAATTTATATCGAGTTTCATTTGCTCACCGTCTTGTTAAATTATACTATTGTACGTGATTAAATATTTCCAATATACGACTTTATCCGACTATCAGTGGATATTGGATATTGGATAGCTGGGGTGGCCGATCAGATAACTTGATGACTGGTCACCAATTGAAGGTGCGGATATTTAATAATGCAAGCAATGCAATCAAGCACCCATGCACCTTCACTTTTTTGAGACGACGTTTTTTAATGTAATATCCGGATAGGAACATTTATTTATTTGATTATTTCTGTTTAATTTTATATTATTTTTTGGCATCAGCAGTTTTTGAGGTTTTCGTGACGAACCATCGACTAGCCGAGAACTAATTTAATCTAGTGGTGAACATCCATGAGTGAATGATGCAATTCAATCAAGCACTCATCTGTACCCGGGTTTAGTTTTTATTCTCAAAACTTGAAATTGGTTTCCGTTGAGCTAATGACAATGTTTCAAGAAGGGGTTTACATGTAAAATTGTTACGGACCTCTGCAATGCGTCTCTTGGTACTAATAATGTGCTGTATTTATGTTTACCAAACTTTCGCAATGTCTTTAAGTTTTCTCCCTCGCATTGAATGGAATCTATCGTTTTTCGTATCTTTATAATAACAAGATGGTTCTTAACATAATATATCTCCTCCTTTAATAGCGATCGTTAAACGAATGGAGACACCAGCAACTATGAGCGCTTCATTCCAAACTACATTTCCAACTACAGCTGTAATGGATCCTATCTACGACTTCAACCTGAATGTGGTGATAACTGTAACCATATTCCTGCTGGGAAGCGTAATCCTCGTACTAAATACTCTCCTATGCTTCTATTACTACAAGAAAAATGCTATAGTTTACGAGAAGCTTTTCTTCCTCCTTTCAGCTGTTGATGCCACGACAGGATTGGCTGCTCTGCTCCAAAGTGCCACCTTCATAGGGATTCTCACGGGCAGCGAAACGTTTGTCTCAGTGGTTCTCACTGTGACCTACGTCATATCTGCTGTATCCTTCCACGTCAGTGTTTTCTACAACGTGCTCCTTGCAGTCTGTCGTACTATTTCCCTTGCTTACCCGTTTTACTGTTTCCGCTTGAAACTCCTTTATTTGGCGTCAGGTCTATACCCCATACTCATGATAATCCTTTCTGTGTACGAAGTTGTTAGCGTTTATTCAAACAACTCCGCACTTGTGAATAGAATAACTCTTCTCTTGATATTTCCGCTTTGTGGTTCGGAAATGATTAATAATATTGATCCCTACTTTGACGATCTGGGATACTACCTTTTGCTGTTGGGTATTCCTTTTGTCTTGCCTTCTTTGATATGCGCAACTTGCTGCATCTTTGCTTTAATCAGTCTAAAAAAGAGCTCCCAAGAAAGGATGTCCGGTTGTACACCCAGAAGAAATGATTCAAAAGCAGGCTGCATAGACTCTGTAGTGATTGAGAACCACAGCATGAACGTTAGAGCAACAAACACAATCATCCAACTCTCCACCGCCTTCTTCATCTGCAACACCCTCTACTTCACCATCGAGTTCATTCTGCATGCATGGAATCCTGTGGAACTAATCCAATATGAGAATTACATAGTCTACACAGCTGCAAATATCCTGCCAATCCTCAACTCGATCATTAACCCTGCTATTCTCATCAACAGGGGTACAAAGCTGCAAACCTTCACTAGGAAAGCCATGAAGAACCCTCTCTCAGCCAGGTCACAAGCACTAGCTATCAGTTTGAAGGAGAAAGCTAGACGACAAAGCAGGCTTAAATTTTATTCCAACACAGTAGTTTGATCTGGATCCCAAGCTTAGAACTGTGATGCAATATGGACACGAGTCACGAATACTTAAGGGTCGCTTAAGGGTCGCTTTAGGCAGGGACATTTACACTTAATACAGATCAAGACCTAACGCCTCTTAAGATTTGTTAGCTTGAATGTCTGTGCCTTAAACGGTCCATTAACGACCGTCGCGTACGACCCTAAAGTTACCATTAACGGATTAATACAAAGTTTTCGTAATATTATGTGATTATAATAGGGATCTTCGTTCTATGTAAATTGTACGGGTATATGCCTCCCATAATGTATACGTTTCTTGTTCGAATAGCTTTTTAAATGTTTTGTTAAAACATTTTAGAATTAACTTTAAGATGTTGCTGGAATATTTCCTTAAATGCAATATGAGAGTTTGAGGGTTAGATTAACCAATTTGTGTAAATTATGTAGTACAGTTAGAGTTTAACGTTGAGCTAATGAATTCGATGTCTGTTTTATTTTATGTTCTTATTGCTTTGTTGTTAATTATATTATAATGGAACTTGCCGTTTTATTCATTTCATCTTGTCTAATTCTTTATAAAGAAGTCCTCAAATTCATGATACTAAACTTTAAATTACATTGTCTACATAATAGATGAATTAATGCATTACTTGAATATTTTTCACTGATACAATTTGTTCTGTTTTTCTTGTAAAATATCTCACTCTTATTAAATCTAACATTTTTAACTCAGGTTTTAGTTCAAATAGATGGAAACGACGACAGGGACAGCAACAACCTTCTATCACAGTATCCCTCTGCAGCTAATCTACTTTCACCATAACAACTTCAATGTCGTGCTAGCAATAACCATATTCCTGCTGGGAAGCGTCATCCTCGTTCTAAACACACTCCTCTGCTTCTATTACTACAAGAAGAATGCTATAGTTTACGAGAAGCTTTTCTTCCTCCTTTCAGCTGTTGATGCCACGACAGGATTGGCTGCTCTGCTCCAAAGTGCCACCTTCATAGGGATTCTCACGGGCAGCGAAACGTTTGTCTCAGTGGTTCTCACTGTGACCTACGTCATATCTGCTGTATCCTTCCACGTCAGTGTTTTCTACAACGTGCTGCTGGCAGTATGCCGAACAGTCGTCCTCTCCTGTCCATTCTTCAAATTCAAACTGAGAATCTTGTACTGTATATCAGCATTCTACCCAGTCGTGATGGTTATGTTGGCAGTGTACGAAGTGAACAGTGTGTATATCAACTACCATTCACTGATTGATAAGATCATGTTTCTAATCATATCCCCGCTCTGTGGCTCTGAACTGATTCACAACTACTACCCTGACTTTAATGATTTAGGATACTATCTGCTTCTTTTGGGCATTCCATTTGTGTTACCCTCCCTGATCTGTCTAGTCTGCTGCATCTGTGCTACAATATATCTGATGAGAGCAACAAAGAGAGATTCCGCAAGGAAGAAATACAGGATGAAGTCATCCAAAACTGGAGAAAATCTGAGGAGACGCCGGAAGACAAACTCTAGAGCAACGGTGACAATATTGCAGCTCTCGACTGCGTTCTTCATTTGTAACACTCTCTACTTCACGACGGAGTTCACACTGCAGGCATGGAATCCTGGACACATTCCACATGAGATGTATCTTGTGTATGTTGCGGCTAACTTCCTGCCTTTCCTCAACTCCTTGATTAACCCTGTAATCCTCATTAACAGGGGTACACATTTGCAGAAGTATATTAAGAGACATCTCGAAATGTTTTCTAACAGTTTCTCTTTTTGAAATATGCATGTTGACAAACACTTGGGCTCGTGAATCATCTGGTTTGTATAATTTATGATTTTGGGGAAGTCAGATTTTGAGGAAGTCATAATCTGATAATCGAGTTAAACTTATCATTAATTTGATAATATTGCACCATAAATTTTGAATATTAGGAATTATTGTACGTATTGTCTGCAGTCTGCACTTAACAACATAATCAAGCATTTTAATATTACCATCGATAATTGTTCATCATATCTATTATAGCTTTTGCGACTAATATAAATGCCAGTGATAAAACTATTTAACTTCTATAATATCTACTTGGACCTCTTCGTTGGCTTCTGATATAACACATATTACTAAATCTTGAGCTCTAATATAAGGGGTGGGAGGTGTGACCTCCCCCTTAAGAGTATGCCGGATGTAACTTGAAGAAATTGGTTCAAGCAAAACATGCTCCAACAAGAAAGTGCCAAAAATGATTTTAACCAAATTCACACAATTTTCTCAGCCATCGCCTGACATTTCTGGGTTTTTAACCCCTATTTATATTTTATAGCCTATGTCATACGTGTCCGGTACTTCTGGATTTCGCTGAATCCAATTATTAGAATATAACACTCTAAGTCTACATATAACTGAAAATTGCAACTTGATAATTTTAGCGCAAGAATTAGTAATGTAAAGACCAAACTAATTACGAAATTTGGTGGCTTCGCTCATGCGACAATCGACATGCGTGTAAAATCACAGTTCGAAATTGTAAAAAACAAAACATTTTTTAAAAGTGTTTAACAGTTTTTAAGAACAGCTGTAGCATGATAAAAGTTTACGATCCTCCCCGTATCAATGAGCTTACAACAACTAATTTTATGTTCTATGTCATACGTGTCCGGTACTTCTGGATTTCGCTGAATCCAATTATTAGAATATAACACTCTAAGTCTACATAGGGTAAAGCACATAATTTTGTCATTTTTTGGCAATTTTCCGACTGCCTGATATAAACCATGGGTTTTAACCTCGTCTGAAATTCCGATTTAGATGAAACCTCCACCATGTTATAGTAGACAGTCTAGGCAAGTTCTAACACAAAAATGATCGAAATTGCTGGGGTTGAAGATGTTCAAAAAAATTATTTTGAAAAAATGACAAAATTAGGTGACTTTACTTGATTTTGTCACCCCGAACCTAATTTTGTCACTTGAAGATTGTGCAAAAATTAACCGTTTCTCGGTATTTTAGACTACCTGGATGCATCATTCGAGCGCTTTTTTACCAACATTGACCTCAAAAATCCCAAAGATATGATGTTTTCATAGTTTTGTAGCTTGATGAAAAGATGACACTTTTTGGGTATCTAATCTTAGAAAATAGCCCCCAAATGCCCCTGAAACCACTGGCATCTTGAAAACTTTCTATGAAGCATGAATCAATATTGGTTACTGATTCACGAAACTATATTTACCAATAGCTCTTTAAAACCCAGAATTACAGTATATTTCTCGGCGAAAATATGCTATTATAAGTGTTTAAATGCTATTATAAGTGCCTTATACATATCCTATGGGCAAAAAAACTTCAGAATAGTTGTATAAGGCCATTTTCAACACAATCTGTGATTTACAAGAAATTTGAGAAAGGTCGATTTTTTTGACAAAATTAGGTACTTTTGGCAAAATCGAACCTAATTTTGTCACCCTCTGTAACTTGAACAATAATTGCGCTAGAGACTTGAAAATTTGTACGTATACTTCTGCTGTAGAAGATATTTGAAATATGCAATGGCATGAAGCTAGCTCAATTACTTTTGAACTAGCAATAAATCAAAATTTTGAAAATTCCTTAAGAAAACTTTAAGGATCTTATTTATTTTTCGGGTTAACAGTTTCGCCTTCATTTTTGACACAGATGCAAAAGAGCTAGAAACTTAAACTTTGTAGGAGCAGTTTCAGCAAAGTCTAAGCTTTCTTTTTATACACAAACCTTTTCTTTCAAGCTGAAATTCCGAGCCGAGGCAGTTTTTCAGAGCAAAATGACAAAATTAGGTACCCTGACAAAATTACGTGCCTTACCCTATAACTGAAAATTGCAACTTGATAATTTTAGCGCAAGAATTAGCAATTTAAAGACCAAACTAATTACGAAATTTGGTGGCTTCGCTCATGCGACAATCGACATGCGTGTAAAATCACAGTTCGATATTGTAAAAAACAAAACATTTTTTAAAAGTGTTTAACAGTTTTTAAGAACAGCTGTAGCATGATAAAAGTTTACGATCCTCCCCGTATCAATGAGCTTACAACAACTAATTTCCAATTGAATGGGGGCCAAATAACCGGTAATGTATGAGAAGTGTGAACCATCTGTTCAGAGTACAGAGCACAGCAGAGGAACGAACCATGTCGAATTTATCAATTTGAAGTGCGGTTACGGCTGTAATTCAGATAAAAATCGCGTTTGATATAGATTAAGGGCAGCGTAACAACGTTCTTTCACTGAAGCATGAAATAGTGTACCTTCTGCTGCAGTTTGAGTTAGTGACCACCTAAGAAAATGTAATCTATCTTAATGTTCCTTCTGAGATAAGATGTTGGTTTTCGTAGACTTTATAATATATTATATTATATGTTATTTTGTTATTAACTGTATCTGATAAAATAGTTCATGGTTAGTTCCGATTAGTAAGATTTTCAGTTGGCACTGATGAGCATCTTCATGCGAAACTAATGGTTTGTCATCATTTCGAAGTTTTAATTGTAAAAATCATCTGTAAAAAGATATATTATATGGTTTTTGAGTTGAAAATATGCTTGCCTTCTGTTGTTCGATTCGAAGTTCGTTTTGTTTGTTCATACATCTTTCCATTCTTACAGCAAACTCTCTTCTTTTAGACTCCAGTTCCTGATGGAACTCACTGTTTTAACTTTGGAATTTACCAGTTAACCGTTAAGAAATGTATTCTTATAATAATTTACTGAGTATCTCATACCTAATTCAGGTCAGTGCTCGAAAATATTACAGACCGCAATCAGGAGCTAATAAAATGGCAACCTAGTTAAGTTCTCGTGATAGAATAACTAAAAATTACTTCCCGAGACATAGTTGAACCCTGAAGATAAGAAATACCTGATCCACTACCGCCATTTCCTGTTGCTTCTGCAGAAGTAGAGTGCTCTGAAGGGTTCTAGTACCATCTTTAACTAGGGCCCACTCACTCTGAAAGTAAGATAACGTCAGAGTACCTACTTCCTGACTCCTTAACAACCCCCTGCGGCCTGCAGCTCATAATTAATTGGACTGAGGTGCTGGCGAGACGTTTTAGGGAGTTGAAGGCACGTCAGTGATAACTATGCTTAACTTTTGGAATTTATAGTTCTAATTTTTAGTTCTAAATTTGGATGTCCTGCTTTACGTTTTACGTAAGAATACCAGATTATGGAACGATCCGATAGAATAAGTGAAAGTAAACAAGACTTTTGATTTAATAAGTTGTTTTATTTAATTGCACGCTTCGACTCAAGAATATGTATCCTTATAAAAGATAATCGTACACTTACTCAAGCGTTACTGTGTTTACTTGTGCAAACATTATTCATGGACAACTATCACAAACAGACGCGGACGTACAGAAGAATTTCAACGACAATACTGCGACAGTACTGCGGTTGTACTTTGATAGTACTGTGCCAGTGTGGTAGTACAGCAGTCGAAATTCTCATGTACGACCTCAAAAGCATTCTTAAAAGCTATGTTGAAATAAAAAGTATTGTGAGCTTTTTAAAACATTCTATAGGATAGGTTTTCTTAGAAAATTGACAAATGAAACACAGGTTTGCTATGCTGGGGAAAATAGTTACAGTATCTATATACTGTAAAAACAGATATTTTCGCGGGCACTCATATCCGCGTTTTTTTAAATATAATTGTTTGCGCGGCTTCAATTTTCTTTGATTGTAATCTTAAAGTAGGGCCAAAAAATTCCACGAAGTAAGGAGACTCAAGTAATTAGGCGCCATCTAACAGTTAAAAAGCTAGCCTTATTGATATTTCATTCACAGTTTTACAGTATACTGTGATACAGTTACTGTGATTCAGCCACTCTTTAATTACTTTACCACCAACTGGTCACTCCTGGTCAACTATATCTTCTCCATGATGTACAGACACCCCCCATCGGTCACTCATATTGTTAGAAATACTAAGAACGATATAGGTATTAGATTTGTCACGCCTTTTACCTTCCCAGTTCCCATTTCTAAGCGGTGATAACGGGTGCACGTATCAACATTCAACAAGTGATGACTTCTATTCTGTTACCTGATATCGTGATACTATCATGATATTATTGGGGTTCGCTGTTGTACCATTTCCATTGATCGTATCGCTTGCAGTATCATGAATTTTGTTTTGCCGAATAGATGTGATTAACTAAAACTCAACTGTGTGTGCGCTTTTTAAAGCCACGTGTTTCAATTAAATGTTAAATTATTATTATTAAATATTGCTTTCATATTCCTTACAGCCCACCATCACAGTTCATTGCATTAGAATGATAGACGTACATTTGGTAGCGAGATGATAGCACAGTTACTGTTCTTCTTCTCATCACAACTGCTTGAGTGCAGTACAGAGGATAGTGATGCAGGTCAGTGTTACATTATTCTCAATATTAATAAACTCAATTAACCAATAACTTATCATGATAACTAGTTCCGGCCTGAACCAGTGCAGTAGTTCTAATATATTATTATAATCTGTATTATATTGGTTATTAGTAACCGGATATCATGTAATATCTGTATTATATTGTGTGATGTTTAGTTATTTAAAGTTCGGAAACCGTGTGTTATAAGCAGGTGATCACTCCATAACCCTAACAGGGTGGTTGCCAGTGAAACAAGGAGCAATATTAAACATAGATCTGGACACCAAGATACTGGAGATACAGACAACAACAACCAACTTCATAGATATACTTGACTTTTGGGTGGTAGACTCAGTTGGTGAACTCG